AGAGAACAAACACACAATGTGATAGGTATGTTAGGTCACTGCTGTAAATCTGCAGCTTGTAAATGGCAGTCACTTTTCTGTTCTGCTTTAATGCGTGGAAGTCATATATAATACTTTATAGCCATAGTAAATTCTTCAGCTGTAGAAGAAAAGCCGTGAGCTAATAGTCAGGAGTAGCAGCGCTCAAGGAAGAGAACATTTAATATCTTTTTTTTTTTTTTTTTTGGTTACTTTTCTCAAATAGTCAGGATAAATTTGAATGATTTTTTCAGTCCAGGATGTGTTTTTGTAAAATGCAACTAGAAGAAAGAATAATCTCAACAAGTGGCAGTATCAAGAACATGAATGTGGTTCTAAGACCAAAGTGGAGCAAACAAATTCACTGACTGAGTCTTGTATAGGAAGAGAAGTAACAGTTTATTGCATAATGGGAAGCTCAGAAATCTACACTGAGATAAGGAAGACAGTCCAAGAAGTGGAGATCTTCTACTGAATTCTTCCAGTTCTGACAGAAAGAGCAACTCATTTGAGAGGTAATGAAAATCAAGAGATGACTCAAGGATTGATGCTGAGAGATGAGAAAATTGCATGGAGACCCTGCTTGCTCAGTGGACTTAGTGGAGCCAAGCATCTAAGGAAACCATCTTGCTGGAATTTAAGATAAAAAGATTTAAATGAAAACTATTCTGAAAGATATTTTAAGCCCATGTAACATTTTTGCTTGGTTCTCATACCAGGAGGAAAAACTTACATTAACAAGGTTAAGGAGCATACAATCACCAGCAGATGGAACATCATGGGAAAAAAATGTTAATATTGATGAAAGGAACAATGTAGTTGTAGGTGGTGAAGTCAACAAAACATCTGTGCTTAGCCAAGCTAAGAAATTAGGAAAAGTAGCTGAGACAAAATGAAATACTTGCATCCAATTGCAAGAATATACCTAATAAAACGTAGAAAGTAATGGTACGCTACATAAACATGAAGATGGTGAAATACCATTTGAGAAGAATTATAAGAGCTATTCTAATGCTGTAGACTACCAGACTAACATGCTGAAAGGCAAGTTTATTGCTTGGAAACGGTCAACTTGCCAAACTACTTGCAGAGACATTTGTGTACCTACATTCTGCTTCCCACATTACAAGCCGCAGTGCTAGTGCACACTGAGCCAACTCAGCAGTACAACAATGATTTATAAGCAAGCAATATATTTGGAGCGAATATCACCGTAAATATAAAGGCTCCATAGTTTAACCTTTAGCATGGCATTGTTAATGTATCATCTGGGCAAGTGAGACTTAGGTATAACAGAAGTTTATTCAGTCATATAATTAGAGAAAAAAGAAAATCAGTTGCCATATAGGAAGCTTGTGATTAAGGATAATCTAGGACTGGTTAAAACCGAACTGGACATTTGTATTCACTCTTAGGTACAACATTGTCATAGAAACACAGGCTGAATAGCTAAAAGGAAGGCTGTTTTGAAATATAAATAACCATTTTTGAAGTGAAAACAGTAGATTTTAGTTTTCTTGATTAAAAGCTACCAGTTAACTGCTATCCCAGAGCAGTGAAAGGAATGTTGCATACAACTAAATGTATTTAGAAAGTTTTTAATTAAACTGCAGATTTGGAAGTCTTGTTATTTGGCCAGAGAACAAAATCCCAGTGTCCGAGTTTAAGGGCAGTGGGAGAGCAATCCAGACTGTCATAACCCAATAATACATAGGAAGTGTAAGCACATTTTGAGAAGAAGTAAAAAAACCATGAAGTAATTAAAAAAGCAGTAGAGTATAGTAAGAGTTTTAATGTGAGCAACATGGGCAGGGAGGGAGTAAAGTAGTAAAAACTCTTCTCAGTGGTACACAGTGAAATGAGCAGAAGCAATAGGCACTTGTGGTTGTTGTACTGTCAGGGTGGTCAAACACTGGAACAGGTTGCCCTGAGCAGCTGTGTAGTCTTCATCCGCAGAGATATTCAGAACCCGACTGTGTAAGGTCCTGGGCACTCTGCTCTGGTGGACCCTGCTTTAACTGGATGAGCTTCAAGGACCACTCCTAACCTCAACTATTCCACGGTAACAGCAGAATTTTTTCCCCAGCTTCACTCTGGCCCACAAGAGGAAAGATAATCTGCCTAGTAAACATTTAATAGTTATCTCTGGTTTTAGCTAATCGGACAGTTACCTAATAAAACAGAATGCAGTTTCCTGACTTAAAGCTTTGTATTTTTTTGGATACAAATCTTTCTAAACAACTAAACCACGGCACACCACTGTTGTAGCCAAGAAAGATTGGATACTAGAACTGCAGAGAAATTGCATGAATACAAATAGAAGCTGTAATTATTTCATTTATCTGCTAAAAGTCAGATAGATTTTTGTTTATCTGAGCAACACCTCTCAAATTTCCTAATAAAAGCTATAAAGTATAAGCATGGATTTTGGATTGTACTAGCATCTGTGAAGAAGTTTATGCTTTGTGATGCATAACACAGCACAGTCAGAAAATACTATAAGGATCTTGTCTACAATATTTCTGTTATTTGTGGGAATGTTAGAAACCATCATGCTCTATTTAAAAAAAAAACCAAAACAAACCACAAAAACAAACCCTGAACTAAATATTGCTCATGGCAACTCCATTTGAAAATGCATCACGACTTTTATAGCATAGTTGATACTTTAATGCAAAAGCGAGAGACGCATTTTCAAAGATGGAAAATATAACCATGATTTGTTATGCAAAGCAGGTAATTGAATTAATCAGAAAGACTTTTGAAGCTACATATTAGAGGCCCTGAAACATTTCCAAGCTCCCTTTTTGCTGTACAGTGGAGTGGGGCTCAGACACATCACCTCCCTCTACTTTCCCACGTGTTAGTTTCCATGCAGAGAAAACCCAGCCACATCAAAATTAAGTATACAACACATACCATTTGAATGTGAGTCTGGACCACTGCATTTTTCATGTTTCCTTTCTCACTGTTTCTCAGGTCTAATTGCAGGACCATCTACCCTTTAGGAAAAGGCATGTCACACAGTGATGCCACAGAATTCCCAAGTTTGCACAAGTGTAATGTATTTTCCTCACATTTTTTTAGCATAAATTTGTGAGAGCATGTGTGCAAAAGTGTAAGCACAAGCTCTTTTTGGTTTATTTTACAATGGCTTCCTGAATCAGCTTTTGATATCTCGCAGATTAAGATTTTATTCAGTATAACACTGTACCTGACATTTAGCATCTTAAGAGTTATAAAATAAAATGCGGTATTTTAAGCAACACTTTCTACTAAATAATTAATCAAAGACCTTTCTTCTGGTTTTAATGCTAAGAGGGAAGTAGTTGCTACAGAAAATAAAAGAGGAAAAATTCAGAATAGAATCAAGATGAAATAACTATTTCTCAAGAGCTTTTAATTAAATTACAACGTTTATGAAGTCATGAAAGCCTGGCAAATAAGACAAACAAACAGTCACAGGAGCCTAACAACCTAGATTTTTTAATTTTCACTTACGGCACTTAGCTTCATCATGGCTATTTGAACAGTCAGGTGTAAAATCACAAAATTTGTCAGATGAAATACATTGTCCATCCTCACATGAAAAAAGTCCCGGTGGACAGTAATAAGATGAAGAATTAGCATCTGCAAATTCGGTTTCCCCTTAAAAGTCAGAAAAGAAAATAGAAATAAAAACATATATTTATAAAATTCTAAGTGCTTTTTATCATCTTTGAATATAGTAATGTACTCAGCATAAAGAACACAGCATCACCTATGAAGTGAGATAGATTATATTATGATTGATAAGATACACAGCTGATATTAATGTCTGATGCTTTTACACTAAGTTTTTTTTATCAAAACCACCTAAAAGTTACACATCCAGGCTCCAGTTTAGAGGCGAGGTGCTGTGTAGAGCACCCTGCTGTTACCCCTGCAGTCAGGAGCAGGTCTTCCACAAAAGCTTTCTGCTGTAGCAGTGGTTTCTCTGCGTTCAGCTCAGTGAATGTTCCAAGAAGCCAAAAGTTTGACATTGCACCATTACTAGCTTGTACCTCAATCTAGACATTAGAAAACACCCCTGATTTCAATGAATGGGGAAACAAAAAGCCAAGGACTACTGGTTTTACCTCAGTAGATTTATTGAAAGAGACCAAGTGAGACAATTGACATGCAGCTTTTCATCTTTTTTGTTTAACTTAGCTTTTTTAGATACTCATACTGCTACCCAGACAAAGCTTGTTTTAAAACGCACTGCCCTCTAAAAATAATATCTTTGTGACCGATGGGTGAATAGGGGGGTTGTAGGGAAAATAATTAAAACAAATTAATGTTTCTTCAAATACCTAGCTACTGTCAGTCAGCCTGTGCATAGGCATCAGAGAAGCCTTAAAAACAAAACACTGAAGTTTTCTGTTATACCTTTAAATTTTCCAATAAAGAAAAAATTCAGACATCTGCTGTGTATAACCCATCAGCATTACCACTGACTGCGCATGTGTCCATGCCTTTTTAAAAGAGTAGTCATGAATAGTCAAGAGGACCAGAAGCAGCAGTCTGACAGAAGGTTACGTTATTTTATATTTCCATTCATTGGCACTTCAAGACTACAGAGTGTGAGTACACAGACAAGTTTGGTAGGAACTTACTGTATGTTAGGTATTTGACAGTAATGATGGGAGAACCCTCTTGCCCTAAAGATAATGCAGTGGAATTTGCTCTTCAGTGGAAGGTATAAGATGCTTTGCTTGTCTCTGCAGCCAAGTGTAAATGTGGGCAGGTGCTATGTAGTAAGTGGTATCTGGAAATTCCCACCACAGCTCACTTTGCAGAACTGGTGCAAACTACTTAGCAGCTACTGTGTAATACAGGATGAAAGTCTTTTTTCCTCAGATGATCCCCTACATTCTTAAAGGTATCTTGAAGTTGTCAGTCAAATCACAGTTATGCATAACAGATATTGGGGAAAACGTGTTGAAAACCACAGAACTTGCCTTCACTTTCTTGGCTGACACCTAGAAGTGATTTATTCACAACTCCACATTCCTCTGTTATACTGATGTCATCAACAGCAACAGTAGCATTTTTTGTTAGAATAGTAGCTCGTAAAATAATCTGTAAAGAAAAATAAATAAGCTAGCTCATTAAAGGTGACATGATAAAAAGACATATATATATATTCCTTTATAATTTATGACATCTGCACAGGAAGTAAATACCACCTACAACCAACTCCAAATACCAGCCAGCAAAAACTACAAGTGAGATTTGATCAAAGTCAGAAGTTTACTCCTCAACTGTCAAAGCCATAACTACCTTTACTTATGAAAAGTTATGCAACCCAGAAGACCTTGCTTCAGTCTAAACTGGTAAAAGCCATCACTACTTGAATGAATTGTCTTCCTGCTGGAACTGTTAAAAGTTATACTTCTTTTTAAATGAGCTTTTCAGGGTTACCAAATATGATGGTTAACATATCCATTTAATTGTGTTCATCTATATATTATGCCTGCTGAAGTCAGCAACATGTGGTACAGTAAACATAGGGATTGTAAGGATACATTTGTAAATACAAGGAAATATTCAGGAGATCATAAAAGGAAGTAAAGTTCAGTCATAACTTAGCAGTAATGAGAATTGAGTGCCCTTTCTTTTAGACCATTTTATAAATGTGACATGGATTGAAGAGACCAAAACCGGAATTTTGATTTGCTGAATCCTTATATTTGAGTTTCTGATTCCCCCAACAGTTCCTTTCTAAGTTTTAGTAAAGTGTAGCAGCCTGAGAGTATGTCAAAATAAAATTAAACTCAAAAACTGCTAATTGTTTCTGTGCTCAGTGCTGCAAATTGAAGTATCTGCACTTCTGCCTTAGGCCAACAGACTTAGGCCTTCACTCTGATCAGCAGTTTTTGTAGCAAGTTCATTTTTTTAAAAGCTATTACACTATTGTTACTTGATTTTTGTTACAAAAAGGTGATTCTAATGCATACAATGATGACGTTCTTTAACAGCCACATCTGTTTAAAGAGCTGAATAGAATTCCTTTTTGTATGAGCATTAAAGAATAGAAATTCTCTTTTTATATTTCCTTATAAAAGTAAATTAATTCAAAATGTCAAATTAGAATAACTTTTGGAAAGCAATGTAAATGTAATTTCCAATTACCTGAAAAGGTAAGTCCTCAGCTGCGCTTTCTACAGGAATATTTACTTTTGTCCACTGCAACTCAGGCAATCCTGAAATGTCACGCAATTTTTCCAAATTTCCGTCCAATGCAGTTCTCTTAAAGACAGAAAGCTGGGAATCCTGAGATAACCGGTGCCAAAATCTTACCTGTTGAAAGAGTTTTTAATGAAACACTTTAAAAACTATATCATCAATCAGCAATAAATTCAGTACCAACTCATATACATACATTATAACACAGAATGGCATGACAGGTCTAAACACAGCCTTGGCATAAAAGAGATGTATGAAACTATGACACATTGAGGAGAAGTATTATGTCTAAAGATAAAACCATAATTAAAAGTAAAGCTTATTTTTAAAACTTACTTTTAACTTGTATCTATCAACTGCTGCAGACTGACTGATATGAGCTCCCTTAACTCTTTTTAGCTTAGTAAGGACTTAGAAACTTCTCAAAGATTATTTTTCTTCACAAATGCTGATAATAGGACAGGTTCAGAAGTATGTTAATCTCAGAAGTGCAACAGTTGAGGTACCTGAATGAAAGAAACCTTATGATCTTGTATTTCCACAATCAACACAAATAAAAACTATCTGACGACAGATGTTTAAAATAATCTATTGATCTCCTGAAACAAGTGGATTGATTGGGAAGAAGAAACAACAACTCTAGGTGGGTGAGGCTACAAAAAACTGCTAGACAAGCAGAAAAGATCAGAAAACAGTAGAATACCAGTTCACTATGCCTCCTCTGCAATACAGAGTAAGCCTGACGCTTTTTTTTTTTTTAATACTACCCCAACAAAAATTCAGCTCAGAACTGCAGGGAAAAAACAGGATTTTTCAAAGACTAATTTTTTTCCTTCCCCTGAGTCCTTTCTCCTTCTTTACACCGTAGAAGACTAAAATTTCTTCAACTGCAGACTCTTTACTTCCCTGCAAAAGCCTTGATAATACTTAAATCTTCATGAAGGTAAAACAAGAGCTGTAAAAATAGTTCTTCCTACCCAGTTCTCTGCCCAACTTCGTATGATCTTACACTGTGAATCTTGGATCATTGCACTACAGAGAGAAAGTTTCCTTTTATTTTTTTCATGTTATATCAACTTTTAAACAGAGTTAAAGAATACAGATCATTTGAGTATTAGCCCAAAATGGAACTTATGTATTTTTTTGCAAGACAATAACAAATATGAGAAAACCCATCTTTAGCCTCAGGACAAACACAGATGCATGTGTTAGCCAGCTTTCAGTTAGATGTGAGACAATTCAAGTTTTTTGAGCAACACAGCTGACACAACAGGCTGTACAGGTCATGGAAAGGCATTATATTAGGGACTGCAACAAGCAAAACAGCCTTAGAGGTAGTGGTGTAATTTTTACTTAATTTAATTGATTGTGAATTAACGCAAATTTGTAATCTCTGAGAAAAAAAGAAGCAAACACTTCAACTTGAGCAAACACCTTTCCTCCCCCTTCCCCAGGCCACTTTAAGTCAAACACTTAGCCTGCCTCCTTCCTAGGCTTAGTTTCCCCAATTTTTGCTGCAGGTTACACTCAGTCTGGCCCAATTCCATTGATGAAGCAACAGGTGGAGCAGGAGGTTGGGCACGTGAGTAATGATTTTGTTCTGCTGTTCTCTACATGTTCCCCTTCTCCAGTCATTACTTCTTACTCTTCTTCCCCTGCTTCAGCTCAGGGCTTTGACAGGCCACAATCCCTCTGGGGTGTCCCCACCCCAGCATGTGTTGCCCACAGCCAGACTCTTTGGGGTGTCCCTGACCCAGCATGGGGCACCCACAGCTGCAGTCCTCTCAGAGCCATACGTCCTCAGCATGGACCACCTCCTTCTGTGGTATGTCTCCAGCTCTGTCCCCAACAATGTCCCCTTCCACACCTCTCCTCCTTGTTTGTCCCCAAAAGAATTTTTTTTTATTTTTTTTTTTAAGAGAAATGGTAGTTTAAGAGTACCCAGGCTCTGAGAGGAGTCTTTTCTTAGTAAATTATCACTTTACAGTCTCTGTTAAAGCTGTGGATGGTTAGCGTGCCAAGGAAGTCGAAGAACAAGACTGATGAATTTGAGAACTCTTTACATTCATATCATTGACTAATAATCTGAAAATCATCATGCATCTGGATTCACTACCTTTCACTTCTGGCCCTGAATTTAATCCGTAAAATTGGCAAATACACTAAAGACACAACATCTGTAACCTGTGAAGGGAGAGTTTCTTTTTGCTTGTGTTACATAATACAAGGTAGATCAGGGCTTAGGTAATATTCTTGTTACAACACACTGTTACTTTTTAGTATCTTCTGGCTTCATGGCTAGTGGACTTGTCTCTCAATTTCCCATTGCGTTTCTTTTTTCCCCACTCATGAAAATTGTATTCTATAAAATAATCTCAAGATTTATTAATAAATTAAAAGACTTTCATGTAACTTGTTTTCCCCACCAGAAAGCTTAAGGAATACAAGCAGGTATACAAACACTTTTCAAAATGAGCTGTTTGAAGAACTACACCCTAAACAATCTAGATGTAAGGTTTATCAAACAGCTTTTCAGACAAATTTGTGTTCTCATTACATAAGAAATAAAATTACCCTCCTTCTCTATGTCTGCATGTTCTACTTTACAGAGACTACTGTGTCCATTAAAGCGCCATGAACAAAGATCTAGGACTAGAAATTTGCTTCTACAACTCCAAAATCTTGAGCTAAATGAAGATGTTTCCTAGCTAACATCTACAGAAAGACTCAGCTACAAGAAGCTGCAGAAAGAAGTTACTTCTAAGCCTCAATTAACCAGTAAGGCACAATATAAAACTGTTATCCCTTAACTACAATTTTCTTCCTTTTTTTTTTTTTTTTAATAACTGGAGCCAAAGAACTTGTAAAGCTATTAATAAACATAGAACTCTTTATGTAGATCCTTTTATCCTCTCAGTGGGACATCCAACAGAGGGCAACATCTCACATTCATACGCAGAGAGCATAACACACCAATACACATTCTAATGAGCAACCCCTACTCCTTGCTCTTTCCCAGAAATAAAAGTCTGCAGGGAAAATGTGGCAGAAAGCCAGGCTTCCAGTCTTCAGAAACACTCTCTTTTCCGACATGTATAGCTGGATAAGAACTTACCCTAGTTTTTGTTGAATCTGGGATCTTTAAAAACATTCAATACGTGCATACTTAAAATTAAAAAATGGTTTACATTCTGACTTTGAACTAGAGAAATATATGTACATCCCCACTGTATTCATATTTATTTTGAATGCAGACCAAACTCTGCAATAGTTCTAACCAGAATGATTCATTGTTTCACATACCTGCTGTGCCCAGTTCGCCCTAAGGGGTTCTAAGATAAATTAATCTGAACCTGAAAGGTGCTTATCTACTCAGGATCAAAGTCTACAAAAGAGATACGAAACTGCCTGAACAAATGCACTGTGTGTACAAAGCCTGTTGGTATCCCAGGAGTGATGCAACACGCAGGGCCCCGATGGGATGCTGTGAGGCCACCTGTGTTCCCTGCAGCAGCGTTCTGCTTGATTTCATTCTGCGTCTATTTTATTTCTGATTCTTTACAACACTAAGAAGCCATGTGAAGATTAAGAACTGAAAGACTGTATTAAATGACAGCAAGGTGTCGTTCTCAAGTTGTTTAAGACTTCTCCTTTTCCACTGCAAGTTGCAACCGTTCCGCAGAGATCTGGGAACTCACTGATGTGCATAGTCCAAGTCAGCTACAGTCTCAAGCACAAAAGGTTTATCTAAGCCAACACTTGTTTCAGGTCCCTTACACTAGAAAAAAAAACTAAGAAGCCTAGGACCTGCTGGAGTAAAATTCTGCTATTTGTTGGGCCTTCTAAGTGCAGTTCCTCCACACATTGTTTTCTGATATTTTTATTTTTGAAAAAAGTTTTCCTAAGTGAAATTACACTTCTGTTCTATATTGAGTCTGAAAAATTAAGCAACCCATCCAAATTTTATTTTGTTTCTCTAAAGCCTCTTTGTGCCACTGAACACAATAAAATTATTTTGGCAAGATTTACCTATCTTTTCCTCTCTGTGACTTCTTAAACCAGGAGGTATTATGCAGTAGCAGAAAAATCATAACATCATAACTACGCAACTTAGCTTCTCCTCACTATGGCATAAGCTTTGAAAAGTTATGGAATAGAAAACAAAAAAAGCTTCAGAAAAAAACCCCAACAAACTTATAAAACTGTACAGCATCTAGTCATTTTATTCAGCGGCCAAAAGTACAGATAGAAATACAGTTAGGAATGTTTTCTTGTATGTATATTTCTGTGATAATATAATTATATATATTTAAAATAGTTCTTCAAGTTCTGTTTTAAAAATACATATTTTGTTGAAAATTCCAACATTCTGATTATAAAACTGTATTTTCATCTTTCATATAAGTCTTTTCTATGTTTTAGCACTCCTGACCCACTTTTTTCAGGTAGCTTTCTAGTTTCTCAGATCAACAGCCATACTGGCTGGTTGCTTTTGCATTCCCCTGCAGAGCCACAAGACAGCCGACAAAAAAAAAGCATTTCAAGGTGAACTCTCAAGTACTGCACTGATCAGCTTAAAAAACATCCTCCTCAAACCATCAATCAAAATTTAGTACGTGTCTGGAGCGTGGTAGCTAATTCTCTCCAGTCACACCAACATAGTTAATCTATATAGTGACTTCAAACCACAGGTCTCCTGTTATGGGACATTGCATATGTGAGTCTTTCCTGCCTATAAATGACAGCGCGGCTCTTCATCAGCTTTTGCTCAAAGGGCAGGCTGCTTTGACCGTCAGTTGATATGGCCCTGATATTGTTGTCCAGCTAGGTTTGTCACAGCATACAAAAACCTGAAGCATAACCTTAAATCTGAGTCACCTGGTGGATGCTTTGGAAAGAATAATAATCAGAGAAAAATTTGGCAGCAAAGCAGTAAAAACCCTGCTGCATCTCCCTCCTCCGAAAGAATTAGTCTGTAACTCCTTCACTGGTATTGAAACGGAGCCAGTTTTTCAGCAGCAACACTTACAGCAAGAAAAATACCGTATCTACACATCAGGTGAGTGATAGCTTACAAGGGTGGGGACAGTTAATATCAAACTGTTACCTGACAGCAGGAAAGCCCAGGGAACAGCTTGACAAGGAAAGGGCTCCCCAGATGAGACGTGGCCATCTTTGTGTTCATCTGATGTGATCCATTGAAGTAAATGAATGCTCCTGTAAACAAAAATCAAAGAAATATAAGAAATATGTCATGCTCCAATAGCAAATAGCTACTTCAGGTAACTATGTGCTCCATGAGGCACATAAAGCTTATTCATAAAAGTACACAAATGAAACAACTTTGCCATCAGTTCAGTCTCTGTGGATAACGAGGAGGGTCTTGTAACAGGCTGTGACAACCACTGTCTAGGGAAAGAAAAAATAGAATTGCTAAGCGCTCCTGCTTCTTTCCTCCGCAGTAAAATTAACATGACTGAGTCCAAAGCTGAGGAAAGAGGGAGAAAGAAAAAAGGGTATTTGGGCAGCCATTGCTAAGGCTCCCCTGTTGTGGTGCCTGCAAGCACTTAAACCTGACAAAGTAAATGCAGAGCCCTGCAAAGGGAGTTCAGAAGTTGCTTGTGAGGGCTTTACTGTGCAGACCCGCTGGATGTGTTTTTCCACCTGCCCTCTTCAGGCAGAAACCTTAGACCTCCATCCTCCAAACACTACAACTACTTCCCACCACCTTCCCACGGTACCCATCCGCTCTCCGCACAGGCTGGGGAGAGCGAAAGGACTGCGGGAGCTGCAACACAGAGCACCCTGGAGATCAAAGAGCACAGACTTCAGCTGGAATCCCTAAAGGACGCATTCTAATTGGCTTAAATAATGTTTCAAACAGGATTTAGAACAAAAATTAATTTCCTTTAGGGTACAGCATTCACTCTCAGCGCAGCCCAGCCAGTTTTAAGCATGCTAACAATGTTGCAGACCATGCGAGCCAATGGAATAAGCTATATTTTCTCATGGGGTCCACAGACTTGACATTGTTGTCTGTGCTAGTGGGGATGAAAGCTTAATTAAAGATCTAATCTGAACTCTGGCAAACGAACTGCCTTTGGATTTGAACTACAGCAGATGTGCTTCAGACAAAGGTAGGAAAGGATAAACATCTTCAAGGGGCCCTAAAGCAGCATATTTTGAATGCCGTCAGTGCTGCCTTCACTGAATACTGAGACTTTTTCATGAAAGTCTATGCAAAACAACACTAAAGGCTCAGTCTTGTTTGCGCATCGATATTACACATATTGCCTTACATCTTGGAAAATCAGCTATTGTGCTGCCACAGTCATACTCCTTAGCCATTTATTTCCCATGGATACGTAATGAAGCAGAGGGTTAGGTCCAGCCCCACATGAATAATTGCATCGCTTTAGCAAGGCTGGCACAAAGAGGTGACCGTTACAGCTCCTTGTACAAACAGGCGTGCTGTGCTCTGCAGCACGAGGGAAGCTCCCCTCATTGGAATGCAAGGGTACTTCAAAGGATCTTCTTTTAATTTGCAGCTGAGGCTCTACAGTAGCCTTGTTAAGATCTTCATTAATCAAAATTTGCTGCTGCCCTCCCCAGGAGAGAAGAGACGAACACTCTGCAGTACCACAAGCAACTGTTGCAACCGGAAGGACCTTGATTTAACGTCGGCAAGAACTTGCTCAAATTATGGAAGCCTAATGGTAAAGCTGTGATGTGGCTGTAGCAGGAACAGTGATATATGGGTGCAAAACCCCCTCAGAAAGACCTTTGCACTACCTTATACGGGGAATGCATCATTACCGGCCTTGAGAGGTGCTGCATGGTAACCTTAAGATCTGCTTGAGGCTTCAACCTGCAGCAACATATAAAGATGTGAACCTATCTTGTAATAATTCAGGTATCAAAACAGCTTAAGTGCAGCAGCACATAGTTCCTTATGGGCTAATTTAACATGCTGCTTAGGCTGCAGAGCAGATGTTTCTACCAGCAGCCTTCATTATGACCACATTACACCTCAAATCTCACCAGCACCTAGAATAACCCACATGGGGAAGACACAGGCATATCGGTGCCCTTCTTCAGAGCTGTGAGAGTTTGGAAGCTGTGGCACAGTAATGTTTGCAGACAATGCAGTAATGCAGATGCAGTGCCACCCTACAGAGACAATAAAACGAAATATCGAATAGCTGCTGAGAAAGTTAACAGCAACTTTAGTGCACTTCATCATTTGGGGACCAATGGAAAAAAAGGCACATGATTGTGCAGTTAGAGTTATTAAATAGCATGCACACACATACTTGCACCCCACTAGGGTTTACTCAGGCAACTTTTAATCCTGGAATTCCTCTACTTTTGAATGCTCAAGGTGGAATACTTAATATTTCGTTCCTTTAACACGAACATGGGAGAGAAGCGTGGAAGTCTGGCTGTAAGATAATATACATCATTAAAAAAAATTATCTTAAAGGGGTATTGGACTATAACCCAGATTTTAACGTAAACAGTGTAATAGATACATTTTGATAAAATTAAAGTCACAGAACATTTGCCAACATTATCTGACAATTACAAACATGCTCTGCAGTTTTAGTTTTATGCAGTATGCTGTAGTAATGCTTTCATTTTGGAAAAATACTTTAAAACAGCCCTCCACTGGAATAACCTTTTTCCAGCTGAATGCATTGTATGGCAACTATAGGCTGAAGGAAGAACACCAGTTCAAAGGATATTACACTCACTCTATTTTTCCAAGACAAAACTTACTAATTTACCTGCACTATGATAATGATAATAATAATAACAACAACAATAAATCTCACCACGTCCAGTATTAGTTGTATGACCTCTGCCAGGGAGTCTCCTGTCAAGCGGAGCCTGTTCTTTCATTCTGTTCCAGTCAGCATCACCTATGCTTAGTGGCTTCCACCCGCAGAGGTCAGTCGCAAAATCACATATAGTGTAATTAGCTGTTGTAAGAAGAACAACAATAAGAGAACATTAAGTTGAATTTCATGCAATGGTTTAATGCTGCAACTATGACTAATTTGTATTTGGATATACAAGGAGTCTTAAAGAAGCACTGGTATGGTTCACTGAAAGCCAGATTATTTAGATGGACAGAAAGTTCTAGAATACAGGTAACAGATCAGGCAGGCCCTTCCCTTCTTAATCAAACTCAGAACCATGAAGGAAACCACCTGTAAGAGAATAAACTATATCATATTAAAGATGAGACCTGTACATAGGCTGCTGATAGATTATGAAAGTAATATATATTTTTAAAAGATGAATTCTACTGGAAAGTTAATTATGAATGTGTGGAAAAAATCAAATGTATTTAGTGCTTTAAATACACTGAAAACAAAGAATACTTAAACTTTCACTTAATTTGTTTTTGAAAATGAGATTTAAATTTATGAATTATTTAGGTCTCCTAGAAATTTTTATTGCCAAGTAAAAGACCATTTTCTCAGTCAGTATGGATTAGACCAACTTAAACTGTAACAGTATCATACATTTTTCCATTTCTTGAGTGCAATTAATTATTTTGATAAGAAAATAGTATAATCTGAGAGTCTTCTTTCCGAGTCCAGAACAGCTTCACAAAGCACTACAGTTAGCTCTTTGGGTCACTTATCACAGTTGTAAACATTACTTTTGAACTGTACTTGGCACTTTCTAGACTTCATGGCACATTTATCCTATCATATCAGCCTCAGATATGGTTATACATATTACTCGAATTTTCAGATTGTACAAAACCAAAATGAAATGCATCTTTGCTGAAGTACCATGGCAGTAGAGCTCCATAGTAAAGGTCTTCCTGATATAAAGAGGTTATCTGAGCAGTTAAATCTTAAGGTACAAAATAAATCACAGATATCGGTACCTCTTATCTGGATTCACTATATACATTAAAATTCAATGGAGCATGCTTTTCTGTTTAGTGCAGTATATTAGTTAAACACGAAACTTGGTTAACTTATTTAATTACAGAATTCTCATGCTTTTGACAAGGTACCTTGTTAATTAGACTTCAATTGCTAATACATTAAGGTAGAATATGCAAATTGATATGCAAGACTAAGCTGTTTTGCTGTATGGTAATTAATACTACGTCTAGGCATTGTGCTTTCCTCAGCTAAGTAGTCTTGAGAGAACCAATGTGGCACAAAAAAGCAAACATTCTTTACTTAAACATCTCTTTCCTCTGGCCTCCCTAAACCCTGGTAAAGGTCTTCTGTGTAAGAAGCTGACTGCAGTGGCTGCATAGTAATATCCCAAAAGAGATCAATATATGACCACAGAGACACAAAGAACTTACTCTGTTGTATACTAAGCAACTAAAAACCTGATCCTGGAAGTAAAATGCCAGGCTAAAGTTAAAACAATGGTTTAAATATGAAAGAGAAAACAAAATGGTACTAATGATTAGTATTTTACAGCTGAATAAGGTATTTAGCATGGGATTATTTTTTTTAACTATTTTCTTTTAACTAGAGGTACTTAGGACCATGAGAAGAATTGTTATCACAATATGAAGAACAACATCTTTCATGTACCAATGACACCAGATCTGTTGTCATTTAATGTGGCTCAATAGCAGGCTCAGGGTTTTTCACGGGCTCATAGTGAAAACTGACTGTTGTAGCTGCATTTGGAAATCAGATACTAAAAGAATTGACAAAGCAGCAAGGCTATGATCAGACAGAGCCCATCACTACCTTTGATGGTCAACAGGAAGAGAGGAGTCTGGTGTAATCATTATTTCTTACATTGGTAGCTACTAGTACAATTTCTTCTAACACTATGGATTTAGAAAGAAATGTATTAACATCATCTTTTAGGTTGAATATACAAGCAGTGGGGAAAAAAAAAAAAAAAAAGACATGCACACACAAAACCATGCAATTCCAAATTAAATTATTTTGCCCAGTCATTTTTTTGAACTTTATTCAAGTCTGAACACAATTATAAAGGTAGGAAGAACATTCATGGTAGTGTGATTTTTAGGTTTGGGGGGGGGGGGGAAGTGGGCAATAAAAAAATGCAGCTCCAGTTCACTAAATGTGATAATGTTGACTGTGATTTAGATGTTACTATTTTTTTTTCATTGCACCTGTCATTTAAAAATGACAAGATCTATATAAACATCCAGTTGTGCAGAGACACTGGGCCAGAGTAATTTCTCAAGCTCAAGTGTTCCACCATATGTAGTTTCTAGAAGTGATACTTCATTTTTAAAAGTATTAATATGTTAGGGAACAGCTAGCCTATAAATGTGAGCGAAACTGAATCATCTGAGTTAACAGTTTGACTTAAATTTTATCCCTACTTAATTCTAAAAACTTAAGGGATGCTTGTGAATGTTTAATCAAGCTTGAAAAAAAAAGTTCTGTGCTTTGGCTGAAACCCAAATGCAAGTGAGACAGTTTCTCAGTATATTTTTTCATTGCTCAAACATTAATAAACTTTGAGATGCTCCTTTCCAGTCAAAACAGTGCATAATTTTTATTATTCACAGGATTTTTCTAAGTTTTTAGTTGAACCTTCAACTGATTATAGGGAATGTTTCACTATCCACAGTTAGAAAATAAGTGACTGCACAACCTATGTTTTTTGAGGATTCATACTGCAGTTATGCAAGTTAAACAGACATAAAGCATATTTCTGGTATATTATGTCCTTTCCTACTGCACCTCTTACCGTCAGAGCTTATGGTTTTTATTTCACTGCAAAGATTTCACTAGATTCAAACTGCAGAAAGATTTTCCACATTACAAAAGCAAAACTAGTTAATTCTCATTTTTGGATATTCATCTATTTTATAATTCAGCAAAACAAAAAGGAAATGAGAAAGGAAACAACAACCTGCACTCATTTAAATAACAAGCCAAATTTGAAAAATAATCTTTTTTTTTCCTTTTCACGTGGGTATATCAGTATATCTCAACTAGTCAAGAAGTAAATTATTATACCAGTTCTGCAAAAACAATGACTCTGGGATGTAACCAGGAGAAAAAAAATGTTCCCCTAACACATCTCCTCAAATTTCAAGAAATAAGTGAAGCTTACTAAAGCCATAAAATACACTGGAAAGATTTTTCAATTAATATGAACCATTTTTCTACATGTTTTTTAAAAAAAGAAGCAGGAAACAAAGCACATATTCCAAGAGCACTGGGAGGTTAGATGGAAATGTTTTTTCTTTGGCTAGCTTGCTCTACCTATCCCAGCTCCTCTTGATCCTCCTGAGGGAAAAACAAAGCAGTCCTGTCAGCTGGGCTGGGTTACCAGCCAATTAACATTGCTTCAACTTTGTAGCCTTCAAGTGGACAAAGCTTTTCAATCCTACTCTGGCAACTCAATCAAATGAACACAAATGGGGACACACAGCTTGTCCCTCCATCAGGTTGGTGTTTCCCTGACTAACAGTATTGAACGAGGAGAGCTGCTGCCCTCTCTCGGTGTGGCAGCACCCCAACTCCTATGGAATTTGGGGTATAAACTGTCTGTATGATCAGCTACCAAAGCACTTCTGTGCGATTACTTTGTCATTAATATTTTGTCATTTCTGGCTAACATTTCATGTGTTCTGGGAAAGGGAAGGGTTACGCATATACCATCTTACTGACTATCTGTGCACATTCCCTACCAGTTTGTGATTATCTAGAATTTGTTAAAGGATTCATGCAGAAAGATCGCAGATGGCCATAGGTCATCTAGCCTGAACTTTCACATGTCATAAGTCATTAGACAGATCTTTCATAACACGCTCCTCCCTTAGGTGAGATGGCCTCATCTCCTGAAACTGCTCGGTTACCTTGCTTAGGGTTAAGAGACCGGTGGTGTTAAGAGAATCTCATGTCGACCTTGGGTCTCAGAGGTACACTCACTTTGAGTTAACTGTTCTGGTGAAACACAAAGGCAATGCTATACAGTGTTCATAAGCAATGAAGAAGTCTGTGAAAATAATACGGGTGCAGCTTCTTTTTCTCCACATGAACATACAAGATTGATGGACAGATCCTGACAATTCCAGACAATTAGTGTGTCACAGGAAACACATAAACGTGTAGTAAAACAAACATTTCAGACTAAAAAATGTTCTTTCTACTTTAAAGTTGAATGGTAATATAATGATTTACATATGTTTTCATCTGCTGTAAAAGGTTTCAAGGATTTGCAATTGTAAATTGCTATACTGTAAATGAAATGCAGTAAAAAGTGCACAGCTTTAAAATTATACAGGTTTCCTTCATTCTACATATTTTCTGTTCATAAATTATGCAAATCCTATGAAAGGCTGGGAATATTTAAGCTAGTACTAGAGATGCAAAATTAAAACCAGAAGAGTTAGACAGGTGTTTTAAGGAAGATTCTAATTAGGCTAAATGGAAGGTGATGTTCTATCAGAAACAGCTGTAGGATGTCCCACCCTGCAATCATTTTGAATCTACATGAATGCTGATGAGTAGGCAATTTCCAGAAACACTACTGTGTCAAACTGTGATATCACTTGAAAATAGCAAGCACTTCCTAGACTTCTTGCCAAGTTGCTAGGATTGCTAGCTGCTGATTCATTTGTGACGTTTTTATCCTTATTGTGTCTGTTACATATAAATAATGTATAATAAGAGTAAGTATAGTGCTTGAAATATTTGTTATTTGGCATGACATTCAGTGAAAAACTTTCTTTATATTAGGTAGGAAATAAAGAAAAGGCATCAGCATAAAAGGGGTCTTTTTAATCCTTCAAATTATTTAAGTACTGTATCTCGCTTTCTCTGTTTTGAATATATGAACTAGGTTTTGATAATTTATTGTCAGTCACTGTGAAATAAGAAATTTAGAAGTGATCTCAGATAAGTGATGTCAAATAAGACATAATGAAAATGTAGAATTTAATACTAAAAACATTAATTTCATAATTTGTCACTTCATTAGATTCCTTGATTTCAACAAAACTACTCAAATAAAGGTGGTTAATCATGTGCATAAGTGTTTCCTACACAATTTCCTAAATTTTTGAGACTTTTAAGTCTCATATACTTAAATATATATTTATATAAATGGGCAGAGATTAAACAGAAAGTTTAAGAAGCATTGTAAATCATATATGTATTTGTTCTTGTAATAAATTGTGTTATTATAAGACCATTCATGCCAAGTTAACATAAGCAAATTGAAACATTATTTTTCTTTCCCCATTATAACAAAGCAAAGAAAATCCACAAAGAAGGAAATCCTTCACATTGCTAAGTATCAGCTGTCTGCCTTTGCTTTCATTCAGTATGGACATCTGTCAGCTCTTTCAGTACATGAGAGTACTTCATCAAAGGAAACTACTGAGGATGAGTCCGAGGATAGGTGCTAAAACATCTAAAAGAATAGAGGCTAAAATATGCATTATTGTACCAGATAGGGATTTTTACTGAAAATTAATGTAAATAAATCTAGTGTACTCTAAATATCACGGAGGACAATTTCAAGATCATGTGGAAAATGTACATAATGGGAGGAAAAGAACAAAGGACAGAAATAAAGGATGATTTTCCCTTTCCCTTCTCTTTTGTTCAAGACTGCAGAAAGTGTCAGAAAGATGAATCTTCTAAGCCGACCAAACTGCTGAAGAGCTAAATTCCACATTTAGCGTCCTCTTTCCTGAGAAGGAGTGTGTGAAGTGTCCAAGACAATATTAGCCATTAAAATGGACCAACTTTAAAAACAGTTATTGTTATTTTAAAGATGGCTTTTTTTTTTTTTCTTTCTTCTCAGCCAGTAGTCAAAGCAACATGGAACTGCTATGGGTTACTTATATTTTAGAAAAGAACCTTTTTTCACCCTTTTTTGGGAGGATGAGTATACTTTTGTGCACTACTCCAACAAAATGATACATCTTCAACCTGCGAATGCCTCGACACAAAGTGAAGCACACAATCCCTATGTCCCAGGTTCAGCTGAGAGTGGTATTTTCTTTAAATTGAAATACACTAGGAGCTAGTAGAGAATCAGTGCCACGTGGTAAACCAAAGTTATCTGCAGAGGCAGCAGCAGACAGTAGAGCACTAGGCAGAGCTATTGAAGAGGGTTTTGCACTGGCTGGGCCTCTGTCAGTCCTTGCCCCAGCACCCTAGTTCTGGAGATGCCACAAAGGATGGTACTGAGACCCCCACACCGTTCTGACTTTTCTTTCTTCTGCCCACTCTCCAGTTTTTCTGACCCATCCACATGAACATGACAGAAGCAATATTCTCAAGAGAGAGTCCACTGTAATCTTTCTTTAACTCTAAAATACTGACTATATCTAGGTTATTTGTTAATCTTTTGGTTGCCCAATGCCAATGTCTGGCGTCTGAGGCCCAGGGGTAAAAATAAAATAAGAAAGTATAATGCACTGCATGCAGAATATAATTGCCTGTGTTTAGAGTTATCTTTATTTTCACTTTGTGTAGTACTATTAACAGCTACCCTTCAACTGTGACAATTATTTTCATCCTCCTTTTAAACCTTAAAATTATTGCTCTATATTCCCAGTCATTATTCACCACAATTCCCTCACATTGTTACTGAAGTGGGAACACTAAATCACTGAGAAATAAAGTCCAATTTATAAAGTATTATTCACTTCCATTCCATTCCTCCTCCTAAAGAGTGTGAGAGGACTCTCTGCACTCCTACCAGCGAGCACACAGAGCTAGCAGCACAGGGTCAAGTCTTGTAAAAAAGGAAAACAGATCTCAGAGAGGGAGGCCCTACAGACTTTAACATTGGCTTAGATTCCACACAGAGATAAAACAGTATAAACCTTCCTATTTAAAATGTTATTTCAACATCTGCACATATTACTTGTTTCAGAGATAGCTCCTGCATGGTTAAGTAATTGAAAAGATTAAAGTTTCAGGCTGCAAGTTAAAAAAAAAAAAAAAAAAGCTCGTAGTCACCAATAGTTCCTAACGTCTTCTCAAGAAATTAAAAAATAAAACATTATAACTATTCTTCAACCTGCTATCTTGAGTGACACACAGAATTTTAATTCGCACCTCTCAGCAGCAATATATATCATTACCAATATCTTAAATATATGCATATTTTCATGTGCAACACACATTTAAGTGTTACTACCACAAGCAAACATACGTATAGATGTACACTGTATCATATTCATTTTAGAAGTAATAGGGTCTCTAAAGCTACTTTCACATAGAGATCTAAAATGTTTCAGAATTATCATGGACATCTTCCTGTAATTTTAATTATTTTCTTTTACTCTTGATTGTACAGTAGAAACTCTGGCTTCTAAGCAAAGTTGCCTTCAATTGAAAATATCATGAGTAAGATCTAGTTTCTGAATTGTAGCCAATTTGTATGGTGATTTGTATCACCATGCAAATATCATGTCACCTAATGCATTTTCTGACAGTAACTCACAGATAATCTAAAGTAGAAAAGCACTCAAACAACAAATCCCAAGGCAGATTTCAGTACCTCTCAAATTAGGGAAGTAGAAGTTATAAATGTTGTACACCGGGAATACATTTAAGCAAAAATATGTGACATGTTGCATTTCTACAGATACTTTAAAAAATTACTATTTGGACCCAAAACATACTGCTAAGGCCAGACAGAAAAATAGAAAGCAATGGGCAGAATAAAAATGCATGGCGGAAAATGCTATGAACATAGCATTTATTATTTATTTAGCATTGTCATAGCCTGTACATCATTATATATTCTGGGGGAAAGAAACATGTAAATAATAAGTTTTCTAGCCTTTTGTTGGATAGACCTCTTTAGGTTTTGCGGTACTCTTGAGCACAGTGTCCTGTGCAATGCAATTGACTTACAGCAGGCTGCTGGATCCTCATCGCTGCCATCAGAACAATCTGGGTGAGAGTCACAGGCTGATCCAGGCTCCGTGGATTGCCCATCAGTGCAGGTGAATTCTTCTAAGGAGCAGAAACCTGGTGGCTCTGATGGTGTAGTGTCCAAAAGCTGGATGTTATTCAGACAAATGAAACTTGCCCTGCTCTGGAGTGTTCCTTTAAACATCAGCTGTGGATTGTTACAATTAAAATATTTATATTAACAGAGAACAGAGAGAAACTGATTTTTTTTTTTTTTTCAGAAAACAGTAATGTTCTACGTGTAAAAAGCACTGCATACTTTCCATTACAAAACCATGACAGATTTTAAATCAGAAACTGAAAATTTTGTATGACTATCTCAGGTTGAAATCTCTGAAAATTTTCAGCTACAACAGTTTGACAAATTCCAAGAATGAAGGTAAGTAAAAGCCTATTTTAAAGAAAAACTCCATTGGCTAAAAAGTTGCAGTGCCTGTGTGTTTTAGAAGAGTGACCTGAAATGTAATATCCTAAAGACTCCATCTTCTGCTCTGAAGTCTCTTCAGAACCTCATTTTGCGGATGCCCAAGAGAAAAATTTTCAGTTACACTCACAGGTGAATAAAATGGGCTAGGGATGACCCTCAGACACCAGTTGGCACAGCATAGCTTAACAACTGATACCTGTTTCATCACTTAAGATAACATGGCTGCATCCAGTCTATGCAGTGGGATTGGTCCCTGCCTGCTGGTAACCCTTGAACTGTTCCAGGCACTGCCTGGGAGATGGCCAATTTTCTTGGGTCAAAACTTTGCTAGGGACCATGTTAATGTTTTAGTTATATGGACTATCACATACCAATTTTGGGCCTGTTCCCTGGCCCTGCTTATTTTACTGCTATTGACTTAGACATAGAGATTCATGGAGCATTTGTCTCTCTGAGTTCCCTTGTGCTGACCAGATTTTGCACAAGCTGATTTAGAGCACTGAAGTTTCAGAAGAACATCTTTTGCTCCTAGGCACTGTGGAGCCCAGCTCTGCTTGTTCTCAAAGCAAGGAGATTACCCCACTTGTGCTCTCCAAGTTTCTTTTACCTGAGCTAAAACAGCAAACAGGAGGAAGCAAGCTTGGATTCATCAGGAAGATGAAGATAGCAATGAAAGAAAGCACCGAGAGACAAGAGCGGAAGTTGGAGGCACAAATCAAAAATAGAGTTGTGGGTTTTGACAGACTGGGACATGACCAGAGCACGAGTCTCAGAAAGTAGTCATGTGCAAGAGGGAGGAAGCACAGTGGAAGGAAAGCTGGACAAGAGTATCCACCAAAACAGAAGGAAACTAGAACAGGCGTGATTTGGGGCATAAGCAGAAGGGTCTAACACACTCCAAAAAGCCTGGGAATTAGGTTGGAGTGAAATCTCAAGAGGCATTTTTCCTTCTACGAAATAAGAATTATATACGTCGTTATCTTCCACCAGAGAAAATTTCTTCAAAATAACAAATATTCTCCATTCTCTATCAGTTCAAACAGCAGAATGCTACGCTGAAAACATTACATAGTCATATAGTTCAAGATAGTATCTTTCCTCCCCTAAGTACAAGTGATCCTTGCTGTCTTTGTACAAGAATGCATAGTTTTGGCTTTCTACATGTATGCATACAACCTCAGCAGCCTTTTAGTTTTGTTTTTTTTAGATACTACAGATAGTATTATTACCCATCTGGTTGTTTATCCACACCTGTCCTTGTGGAGGAAAAAGAGAGACCAGCAACAACAGGTACTTATAACCTACTAACTTGCTGAAATGCATTCATTCTAATATATGTCAAAACGTCAATTCCAGCAGCAGGCTTAGTTTTTGTCCTTTCACACGGATTACATTTTCAGCTGATTGTTGAGAGAGTAAAATATGATGGTTATTTACACAATTATGAAAAATAAATGTAAATGTAAAATTACTTAAAATAGAAACTTGTAAACTTATTTAAGAATTAAGTAGTTGCAACTTTGTGTTCTTCTCTATGCCTGAAAATTCAGGGAGAAGATATTCTCTTCCAATTACCAGTTTAACAATTACTGGTTTACATAATTTCACTAAAATCCCACAAAAATCATTCACATCATCTCACTTAATAGCATTTACATTTAAATGACTTGGCAACACTTGAGATGGACTTGGATGGCTAACTAAAATGTGGTGAGATTTATATTTATTTTCTTGCATGTTATTAAAGACCAGCAGCTTCAACACGTGATGTTTGTGTAGATGTTTTGTTGAGCTATAACCAGAGCTTTACCCACATTGAAGCAATGAAGAACAGCAAGACCTTCAGAATATGTATCATTTTCATAATTTTTTAAGTTTCATAGGAGCTTTATAAACAATAAGGTAAAGCATCTTCAAAAAATTGAGCATGTGCCTTTTTCATTCATACCTTTAATTTTTCTAGCCTTGTTGGTAGCTGTATATCCACTTTGACCCATTCCTTCTTAGTCATGATGTTGGTTTCCCACAAGACATGTTCCTCCTGTAAAATGTAGAATATGACATTATAAAGCTAATTTTTGTTCCTCTATAAATTTTCAAGGCCATTTTTTGTCCTCGATCTTTTCATATCCTAGCCAAACTACCACTACATACAAAGTTGCTCTATGTAAGGAAATAGAGCTTCACATGCTCTTTTGCAATCTTTGCACTGAGCTCTATGGGAAAGAGAGGAAACAAGACATGTTTACTGTGATTAAACAGGTTAATAATGTAATTATCAAGAGTTGGCTTAGTAGAATTAAAGTGAATTAATATGTAAATTAAGCCATGTTGCTGCTGAATTTAACAGTATGTTTCCATGGTGCTCTCTACATTAGTTTCTTTTTCATAAATAACTGCTTATATTACATTGTGTTATAATTAAATTTAGTTTTCTTAGAACTGAATTTAGGGTCTGTCAAAGTTACCCAATCAACTGCACTAAAAACTTTTTTTTTTTTTTAAATCTGTAAAGCAGGCAAGCAGAGTACTATGTAACAAGCCCTAGTCATGTTCTGAGTTACCTCAGTCCCCATTTTCACCTCCTAAGGATAACAGCAAGAGTGCCCAATATGGTAAGGCTCCCTTTATGGAAGCACTCCGAGCCCTTTTCATTCAATAATCTGACAAAACCAGCTCATGCTTATTCTGCTTCTGGTCATAATCCTAACTGGAACATGCTGAGGCCAGTATAAAGAAAAGAAATGTAGCAATGTGAACTCCACATCCCTAAAGAAAGTCTTTTCAAGAATCAGCCCTAAAATAGAACAAAACCAGAAAGACAGAAAAAATACAGGAGAAGATAATATAGGCTACACATAACAAATAGACTTACCATTACAAGTATCAACAGTGAGACCCCTTTTAGGATACTGTGCAAAATACTGGTCATACCTTTTCCACAGAGGATATTACAGAATTAGAGGCAGTTCAGAAAAAGATGTGAAGCAGGATAGGAGAAATGGAAAGTCTCCTGTACAGAGAGAAATTGAAAGGATAGAAACAGTTTACCTTACAGGAGATGAATAAAAGGGGATATGATAGGTATGTGAAATGTTATCAATAGTGTAGACAAGGACAGTTATCTTTTTTCCTGTCTTGCAATATAAAAAAGAGGAAGAAGATGCTGTCTACTGCTTGACAGACCGAGAGGTCTGAGCCAGCAGAACAACACTGATATGGATTTGTGATGAGTCGCCAATTACTTATGCTCTTTTCCTACCAAGGCTTCAACTGTTATGACATATCAACAAAGCTGGAAGAATAAATCTCTATTGAATATGTGTTCAAAGATCAGTTTTGGAAACTGCAAGACAGGCCCAAGCCAATACCCTAATTCCAAACACTAAATGACAAAAGAGGTCAAATTTGGATAAACCACATGACATACTTGATTTCAGAAATAAAAGTCAGCTGTGAGTTTCTGCATCAGTGTAGGATAGAAGTATTCGTCAACTTGTTCATGTCATAGATAGTCAGCAGAAGTCTTTCAACAGTGAGGACACTTCATTCTGTATAAAACTTGCTTCATTTTACTAAATAATTTAGCTTCCAAAGAAAATCTATTAATGTTATTAACCTACAATAGCCCCATGTAAGACACAGAAAAGGATGATATGCTAGGACCATACTGCATGGCAGGATAAAACCATAGCCTGTGGTTAAGTGTCTGTTTTTATAAATATTTTAGTTAATGTATTCCCCATACATGCATATACAAACCCTCCAAACACATTTATAAACCTTGTGGGAACACTTTACATTTGCTGTTTATTTGATTGGATGCATCTAGATACTGTAATTTTGTTCACATTCAATTAACAGCTTAGATACCCATCCCCATGACCATCTTTCTCCCAAATTTATTTTAACAAAAAAAAACTTGTAGCAGTAAACTTGAGTTTTCTGTGTATGTGCCAGTAGCCAGACCTTCTAGGGCTGTTTTTTACACTGAAAGTTGTAAATCACTTCAGATGCAACAACTTTTTAAACTGGCTTTTCTTCCATGCAACAGACGTTACCCTCTTGTTTTATACAGCTCTAATAAGCTAATAATGCTATTTCCCTTCCTCACAGTGTTTTCTCTGTAGCATTCATCCTGCTTGTCAGATTCTTTTACCTCTTTGGTACAAATGGGTTAACCCTTCTAGCATATTCCTTGTGTCTCTAGCCTTCTTTTAAAATGTTGAATGTATTGCTTTTCCAGTACTTTCCCTCAAGATTTATTTTGGTGATGCAGGGGAGCAGTTGCTCAAAATACCTTCACTCTATTCCCCTTACTCTGATATATTATGATCTATAAACAATTTTTTGTAAAGCTAAAATGGGCAAGAATTGTTCCTTTTTCCTGCAATGGTGTTTTTTTTTTTTGAGATAATGCTACTCAGATTTGAAGGAAGAGACAATCGTGACTTTTTCTTATCAACTCCATTTATAAAATACAACTTTTTTTATTATTTTTGACATTTCTCTACAAATACATTCACTGCTGTGCAACTGCACTCATCATTTTGTCCCTGCCTCTCTCATTTCAGAGAGTAATTTGGAACAAATGCTTATTTGTTCCCCCACAATGATTAATGGATCCCCTTTAACTTCTGCAGAGGAGTGTACTTGCATGGTTTTTGAAAGTGTTGCTGAACACTTTGTCCTTTCAGCTAGGTTTCAGCTGGGATAGAGTGGATTATCTTCCTAGTAGCTGGTACGGTGCTATGTTTTGAGTTCAGTATGCAAAGAATGTTGATAACACTGATGTTTTCAGTTGTTGCTCAGTAGTGTTTAGAATAAAGTCAAGGATTTTTCAGCTTCTCATGCCCAGCCAGCGAGAAGGCTGGAGGGGCACGAGAAGTTGGCACAGGACACAGCCAGGGCACCTGACCCAAACTGGCCAAAGGGGTGTTCCATACCATGTGACGTCATGTCCAGTATATAAACTGGGGGGAGTGGGGGCCGGGGGATCGTCGCTTAGGGATTAACTGGGCGTCAATGAGCAGGTTGTGAGCAATTGCACTGTGCATTATTTGTACATTCCAATCCTTTTGTCATTACTGCTGTCACTTTATTAGTGTTATCATTATTGGTTTCTTTTTTTATATTCTATTAAACCGTTCTTATCTCAACCCACGAGTTTTACTTCTTTTCCTGATTTTCTCCCCCATCCCACTGGGGGGGGGGGAGTGAGTGAGCGGCTGCGTGGTGCTTAGTTGCTGGCTGGGGTTAAACCACGACAACTTACAGAAATTTTAGTGCATTGGGGTACAAATATGCCTGCACATACAAATACCAGTTGAAATTATCTTTTGTTGTTTAATCTCCATCTGTTTTGTAAGCCATACAAGATGTAAAGATTAAGGTAAAAGGAAGTATAAGCCCATTACTTAATGGGAGGAAAGAGCAAGTAATGAATGGCAAATGATAAACTGAAGTTAACATTACCTTCTTTGGTTTCAGTTTTCACAGAAAAGTTGAAAATTTATCAGACAGTTAATAGACAATACTGTTAATATTTTATGTTAGTAAGACAGTTAATATTGCCAAATGTGAATGCAAACACAGACTAGAATAGAACAATATTACAAATATATATAAGCCAGAAGTACTGAAACTAGAAGGGAAACAGGAAAGGTTGCATAATGGAAGGAATATCTGACTATCAACAACTAACTCTGAGAACCCGAGGAGAATGTGTGGGAAACTAGAGAACTGGGAGAACAAAGGATATACATTACAGTTAAGGGAAAAATACAGACTATGCAATTATAGCTGATCAGCTGAAAGTTGACAACTCATAAGACACTGGAACAGATTGCTAACAAAAATCTTGTAAGCAGCTAGAGAATTAGAAAGTGAGTAACCTACATTAGCTGCTTCTGATGAGGAACAAGTCACATTCAGCCAGTGTAATCTGGTTTGGTTGGGTTTTTTCATTGTAAACAGACTTGAAAAAGTAGATATTACTTTACTTTGTTAGGGCTTTTAACATAATCTCATGGGACGCTCTTTAAGCAAATTGAGGAGATTTGGTACAGATGGAATTACTGTAAAGTGGGTATACAAATAGGAGCGTGACCTTATTTAAAAGAGGAGCTGTCAATAGTTTTCTATCAAACTACAAGGAAATGATAATAAGGCTCTGCATAGGTCTGTTCCAGGGCCTGGCATAACAATAGTGCTAACTGTTTGGAAAGTGGAATGAAAAATAAAATATAAAAAAAATGTGGCTAACACTAAATTGGGAGGAATTACAAGCACACCAACAGACATCATGAGAATTTTAAATCATCTCAGTATACAAAAACCAGTTTCAAACCAATAACACAAGGTTCAAAGACATATGAATCACAGTTAGGAAAGAAAAATGAAATGATCAATGCAATAGTACTGAACGAAGAGCAACTTTGGTAAACCAGCAATAAAAGAGGAAAAGCTGCAGATTAATCATGGACTGCAAGTTAAATATAAGCCAACAATAGGTTTCTGTTGACAAAAAGAGTTCATTTTCCCTATCCTTTTTCATACCCAAGAACAATTTAAATTCTCTGTCTTCCAACTGATGTCATAATGTCTATATTAGAAGACACATTCACTCATTTTGGCCTCTCTGTTGAAAGAGTGAGGAAGGCTAGGGATACATTTGCAACACCTGTGGTGCTTGTCCTCTAAGAACAGTACTGAAACTGTACGTTAAATGTAATCCAGTCTCCATTTGCATCAGGCCTGTTCGTGTTGAAACATAGCAAAAGTTATTCAGAGACCAATAAAAGTAGTAAAAGGGGATGCAGGGAAACTGTACGGTACCAGACCATGCAATTGAGAGATTATTTTTAATGACAGCCTCCAGGACAGCAGCACTGTTGTCTTCCAGGGTCAGAACCAGCAGTTGTCTCTCACTTCTGTTTCTCAGTATGTGGCTAGCTTTGAAGATTCATTTGTTTTTCATAAACAAGCTAACGATTCAGTAGCAAAATGTGTAAAAGCTACTCCTCCTTTCATTTCAGTTTAACAAGTCTTAAATATAATTCTGTAGAGTTTTGGTTTTGAAGCTACAAGCAGAAGCTTCTGAAGGTTTCTGAAGTTTTTCTGGCAAATTTTGCAGTATGAGTAACTCATATCATCTTTAATTAAGTCTATGTGCAATAAATACACCTCTGACTAAAGGAGAAATTCCATAACTAAAACAACAAAGGGCTAAGAGCAGTTGTGGAAACAGAATGGACTGAACTGATATAATAATGTTGTAGTTTAACCCCAGCCAGCAACTAAGCACCCCGCAGCCACTCACTCACTCCCCCCTCATCCATTGGGATAGGGGAGAAAATTGGGGAAAAAAGAAGCAAAACCTGTGGGTTGAGATAAAAACAGTTTAATAGAACAGAAAAGAAGAAACTAATAATGACAGTGATAACACTAATAAAATGACAACAGCAATAATGAAAGGATTGGAACATACAAATGATGCGCAGTGCAATTGCTCACCACCCGCCGACCGACACCCAGCCAGTCCCCGAGCGGCGATTCCCCGCCCCCACTTCCCAGTTCCTATACATGGGATGTCCCATGGTATGGAATACCCCTTTGGCCAGTTTGGGTCAGGTGCCCTGGCTGTGTCCTGTGCCAACTTCTTGTGCCCCTCCAGCTTTCTCGCTGGCTGGGCAGGAGAAGCTGAAAAATCCTGAACTCAAAACATAGCACCGTACCAGCTACTAGGAAGACAGTTAACTCTATCCCAGCTGAAACTAGGACAAATAACTGCCAAAAACATTCTTCTAATGCATATGTAAGGAACTGTTTATCAATTAATTCAATTTAGGCTTCCAATTCTATGGGAACTCAAATGCCAGTTTTCTCATGGTTTTGAATCACATAATTTGCTCTACTTTCAAGGAAAGAAAAATCTTTTGTTGGGTCCATTGACACTCCTTAGGTGAACCACTGCAATCAGTATTCCTATTCTGTCTCAAGGTTGCCATGGGTGTCATACCTGGGAATTTATTGGCAAGTACTATGGCACAAATATCCATGCATTTGGACCAGAACACTGATTATGTTACAATTTCCTCATACAGTAATGGGTCATAGAAAAATACAACTATTCACTTTTATAAATGAAAAATGAGCAAGAGCCTGGAGTTGTTTTCATGAATACTTGAAGATACAGTGGGAAAGAAATAAGGTATGTCCATTACCTGGTCCTGTATTTAGACCCCTTGGTAGCGTTACACTTCAGGTTTTTTTGCATTTTACCTTTCTGAGTGAAGTGGATCTTTTTAAATACTTGTATTGTTGGTTGATAATAATTCAACTCCAACATCAAGATATGAGAGCCATTAACTTAATGAGACCAGCTGTACTGCTCTTGCTTTCATTAAGTAGCAGTACAATAGCATCAATATTAAGTTATTAAACAAGACACTCAAAAGAGAACATTCTAACTGCAGAAAGCCTCCACAAGGCAAGGGAAGTAAGAAAGATGGAAATAGTTATCATTGCTCAACTGGCATTTGTGTTTGACATGGCTATTTTATCTACTAATAGGTAAAAGAATAGGAATATTACTGCTCTAAAACATGGGCAAAGCAAATCAGGTGGCCAAGCAAGAGATTTCCAGGTATCCTGAGCCAGCAACTTTTGGTTTTTTCTATGTCTCTATAGAGAAAAGCACTTATTTTCTTATTTCCAGAACAGGAGGAAGGCTAGAAAATCTGTTACTATAGATTTCCCCCCTGAAATCACCAAATTATTTAATTCAGTAACAGAAGGGGTTTGTCCTTGAAGTCTTACTGCAGAACATTCACCCATCAAATTAGTTTATAGCTGAGATGGCAAATACCCAGGTTTTACAATTGCATAGATCAGTGGAATGATACCAAGCAATCGTTTTGCACAAACTAACTTAAGGGGCAAGCATGTGCTAGCAGGCATATTTCTTTGCATTTTGGCTGGTAACACCTGGGCAGCCATATCTCTACCCTTTCAAAGTGAATGTGTGTTTCTTCTTACCTGATTAGTAAACAGTACCACCTTGAGAACACTGCTATCTGCCACGGAGTAATGAAACTGAAAACTGCAAATCTTGCTGGAGCAATGACACATGGAGCTGTTTAGATAAGCGCTTTTATGTAATGCGTTGTCATTAGCTTCTAACCACTCAAAATGGCCTGAAAAATAAATAAAAAAAAAATTTAAAAGGTGCACTTTTTCACAAAACATTTTTTTGTTCCTGCAGTCTATGAAAATAAGGACTGCGTTCCTGTAATTAAACCACAGACCCATTCCAGCAACAATAGAATCTGATCATCATGCTGAAGATGTGACTTGGATGTCATGTAAGTGTTTCCTATTAAAAAGATAGATATGTATCTTCATTTGACTTACCGATAGCCCCAGCAACCAAGAATTACAGCGTTTAATAGTATCTTGAAGTTGTTACTTTGCATGTTAAAAGCTGTAAGCAGTCCCTTATTCAGCTCAGCCTCCTTACATTTACAACCATTCAATACCTAATCACAAATATATTTGGAAATGGCTTTCTTCCTTCTTCTGCTACAGTTTCCAGAAAATATGCTTTTTACAGTAATATTTCTGTAGATGCTTCAAAAATTAAAAAAAAAAAAATAAAATAAAAGGAAGGTGACAGGGGCAATATTCTGCCTTATGGCTACAGGACACAGTAGCATCTCCACCTTATAATCAAGGCCTTTACTTCTCAGCCACAGTTGCTGCAACAAAACGTTGGAAGCATATTGCTTTTCCATCTGAAACAGAAAAGTAACTTGTGCTCATCTTGACCTAGTGCCCCTTATAAAAGCATTCCTACAGAGATCTAAAAGACTACTGCATCCCCTCAACAGTGTCTTTTATTTGTCAGAAATAAAAAGGCTAAATACTTTTTACTAAATATATCAGGTCTTTTTTGCCCCTCCTGAGTCACTGAATATTTTGCTGCCTTCTGAAGCAGCTATTAAAATAATAAACAAGGATTGATTAAAGGTCTTAAGTCTGCTGTTTCTGTGTTCATGTCTCTAAATACAACTTAAATGCAGATGTTACACAGATTATTTCAAGCTGAAGGGAGAAAATGTCATTTCACAAGGAAAATTATTTTTTTATAAGGGACCACATTCTTTTCCTTTTGTTGTCAGTTTACTCTTCATGTTATGCAATGTTTTACGCTGAGTTATGTGGTCACAATTTCATTGGAATTAGGTTTGTATTTTCATGCCACAGCCGCTAACCTTGACATAAGGAAACATTATAGATTTAACACAACATTCTGTTTGACAGAGATCAACAAAGCATCTATACTTCTATGTCTACTGCCTTGTGCAGAAGAGACATATGCATCAATATTGGAATTTACATTACTGGTTCTTTATCTAACTTCAGAATTCTCTGATGCCATTATAAAACTAACCAATTTTATTTTCTGAGCCTAATGATAATTAACATTCTCTTTGTTCCTGAATCTTTAAAAAGTGGGCAAAGTAGAGTTGACATGATTTTTAGATAAGAAAGCAAGTGAACAGCACTAGATAAACAAAAGTTCTATGAAACATCTAGAATGATTGTGTGTCCACAAGGGATGCTGACTGTTCTTTAGGGAATATGCTTTATGTAAATATTGTGAATGCTTAAAAGACAAATTGAGGCCTACTTTCAGAAAAGAAGACTCCAGAAAATCCTGTCCTGAAAATACTGATTTTATTATTATTATTTTATCCCTCTTCTCTGTAGTCTGTAAAAGTAGAACCATGTGAATTTAACTGCACAGGCAATAAACTATGCTGAAGTACTTACTTGTTTCCCCTCTTCAGGGATTTTTTTTTTTTTTTTTTAATTACCTTTAGCCAACTTTTAATCAAGTAGCTTTCTAAAGATTAATGCTATTTGGAACGTTTTTCTTTCATTAGTTACAAATTTTGCAGCTCTTCTCTAAAGTCTGAAGTTCCTTCAGTCTAATACACTGCATAGCATATTACTGTGTTTATGCTCTGACCTTCTTTACATCTTGTTCTCTTGAATTTTCATGACTTTCTGTTTCTGAAGTGCCAAACTTCCCTATGTTTTTAGAAGTAGAACAGGAATCCCAGAAAAGCCACTTCATTCCTGTCAATGTGGTAGTAGGGCTACACACAGAGATGTGTGTGTTTTAATATCTTTCCATAAAGCCTTTTATTTTCCCCATGTGACTGCTTATTCAGGTTTTAGATAGACAGTCTTGTTTCTTCCAGTTTTGAGGAAAAATTTCGTCTGTCATAAGCAAAATCTTGGAGTCCTGCGGAAAGATCAGCCACAGACTGCAATGGAGCCCAACCAGAGGCAGAGCTTACAACTTACTGCTGGGTGTCTTCTTAGAGCTGGGGTGGGCTAGTGAACCTGCCTGTGTCCTGCTACACTGAAAACTCAAAGCCTATAAATATTTAGCTGCTTGGATCCATCTTAAGCATTTTCTGACTCAAATCTTTTGTCATTCCTTCTGCTTTAATCCATGGGGGTTTTTTATTTCACAAACTACACAACTTTGAATCTATGCTACTAGCTTTTAGAGTATCAACTGAGCCTTCAGTTAAAACCAAGCCAAGGAGTGGAACCTCTCCTTTTCTGACAAGTTCTCTTCCCCAGCAGAGAACTGTTCGGTCTCTGAACCAATCCCCTGCAACCTTCCCACACAACCATTTGAGGAAAGAGGAGGTCAAATATGAACTGCCATTGTTTCTACTCTTTGAAGGTGAATTTTCATGAACTCACAAGTCATGGATGAAATCTTGAAAAAAAAAAAAAAAAAAGAGAGAAAAAAGGGAAATGTAGTAGAATCACATAATCTAACGATTTGGCTGTTTTTTCCTGTTTAAATGAGGGATTTTTATCATTAGTTACCTGAAACGCTGGTTTTAAAAGCCACAGCACTTCCTTTGATTTCTTTTTGCATCTCATAATCTTTATTATGCAAAGACTTGATTTCATTAGTTTCTTATTAAAGAAGTGTTACCCCAGATGCAGGAAACTAGATCAATCCAATGTAAGAAACTATGGAAACTACATAGCATGCTGGAAATATCAGTAATGAAAACAGCAAAGTATTTTCTGAACAGTATTGCAGGGGAATATAAAACCTTTGTAAGAACTTTTGACACTAGAGAAATTAAGAGGAAAATTTATAGTGAAAGTGCCTACAATACAACACTGGAGAAAAGAAACAATAAAAGAACAAAGAAAAAAAGTCTGCCAAAGACAGAAAGTATTTTATTAAATTTAAGAATACCAGGAAAGTGCACTTATTCAAAGTCTATAAGCAATCCTTTCTTTATAAATATAATTGTCTAGACTTCTGCTTTATAATTTAGTTTCTTACCTGTCTTCTATTTATAGTAGTGAAAGCTTTGATCAAAATCAGAAATTAAAGCTTAGTCAAGCTCTATTTGCATTGCAAGTTTGAGCCCTCAAGCATGGCATTTTTGCAGTCTGCATACCATTTCTTTAGTTTTTAGAATTTTAGTTAATATTCAACCTCTTCATTTATGCTCAACAAATCTGCATGAATAGAAATACTGAATGTACTGAGAGGCGAGCAATCATAGTTCAGATTTTTCAATACTTTCCAGTGTTAATGATGAATTAAATTCTGTGTGTTGTTTTGACACTTATTTCTTCCCACATTTTCTTTTTTCCTTTATGACATGGAAACACAGGGAATGTCCCCAAGCAGTTGTGTCATATGTTCAGCCTACTCAGCTGTCTGTGCATATTTATACAATGCCCAAGCACCTAGACAACAGACATTTCAAAATGTATTCTGTTTCAAACAACATTGCTTGTGACCTGGTCCTGTAAAAAACACTTACAGAATTTCAGTATCTTCTCTGTTAGCACAATGTTGCCATAAAAGGGAAATCCATCCCCTTTACCAGCCCTTGAGCTATCATGTTAAGATATGGCACTGGTACGCCACCTTTCAGGGAGGTGTTCAAAATAAAATCAAATGAAAAGTCTCTTTTTTTTTTTTAGATATCCCAGTGGAAATTGAAAGGTGGTGTGACTTTCTTTTTTTTTTTATATATAAGATGAGAAAAAAAATCTACTTTATTAGTCTATGTGCTCTCTGTTGTACATAAAAGTTAACATGCAAAAATTCATCTCAACAGAGTGTATACACTCAAGCATTTTCGCTTGCTATTCCATTATAATTTGATTTATAGTTACTCAAGTGTGTTGAAATGCATGCTAAAATTTATTTTAAAAATCTTTCTAAAATGAAAACAATACCTAATCAATCATTCTGCTGCTATCAGTGAGATGTACTCTATTTCTGTGGGCTCAAAGTTCAAGCAGTAACCTCCAAGCTATCACTTCTTCAAAGCTACATCACAAATTATGCTATTACAACTAGTGCTACTTAACTCCTTTGAAGGCAGTCTCAGTAGACGAGCCAAACACTTGGCTGACAAGGCAATTCCATTTCACATTACAACACTTAGACATTTTTATCCATTAAGTTTTCAAAAGCAGTTCCCATAAACCCATAGACAAGCACTACAGAGCGACTTCAAAAACAAGTGCTGCTCCTTGCTTCTGAAAATTGCAACTAGTTTTATTGTTTTCAAAAGTAATAAACTATTTTGTATAATAAATGTTTCTCTACAGCTCCTCTAATTAAAGGTTTAAAGTGAAATTCCTGACTGTATGCTCAAACATAGCACTACACAAGTAAAACTGCCAAGTGTCAAAACCAAAACAAAACAGAAAAAACACAAACAAGGACTGTGGGCTTAGATGGATTTAATTTAATTTCACCAAATTGTTACATAGATTTCATACAAAGAATTAACTGGAGAATAAATCAATTAGTAGTTTATATGGGAATTCTTACATTAAAATCTTTCATGTTTTACCAGCACGTGTGCTCACGGTGCCCTTCTAAATGGTCAAAGCAAAATAGGATTTAAGTACAAAATACTTACGATTACTTTTCACATTTTTGTTCGGTTTCTACATTGGGTCACCACCTTGTCCTAAAAAGCACTATATTCTTCATGAGAAGTAGTAATTGTGCACTAACTTACCTTTCCCACCTTCGGTATTGTTGCCCCAATCTTTCAGGAAGGAACAGGAGGCAATCTGGTGCCCGGCTTGCAGTCGTGCCCACGTAGCAGGCTCAGCCTGCTGACCTGACTGCCACTCACAAACGCCAAGCTCAAAACTGGAAGTCTGTGGTGCTAAAAGACAAAGAAAAACAATCACTTCTTAAGAAATCATTATTTATGAGACTACTTCCCATTAGAAACATATACTTATTAAACTACTTGATAACATTTCTGCCTCAGGTTACTTCAAAAGCGTTGTGTATCACTGAGTGCTGTCTTGTATTTCAGGCTGCCATCTTTAACAATGCTGTTTTAAAAAATCATTCCCTAAAGATAGATGCTTCCTTCAGAGCAATGGAGTGCTATTTATGTTAGCCAGTTGTTGCAACCTTCATGAATTCATTTCTGCAGAAGGAAGTGAATTGCCAGGAAACATAAAAAAATGACATGTCATAACATGAAATACCTATTTACTTTTCTAGATAATAGCTACAGGAAAATCACTTCTGAGAGGTTAAACTCAGCAGCATCTTGCAACAGAACGCCTCTTTTTAAAACCAAAAAGTTTCTGAATATGTCACCACATATTTTCAAGAACTTTTTAAGGGCAAATCATGCCTGACTAAACTAGGCGCCTTCTACAATGGGGTGACTGCAACAGTGGACAATGGAAGAGCTATAGATGTCACCTACCGGGACTTCTGTAAGGCCTTTGATAATGGTCTCCCTCAACATTCTTACTGTTAAATTGGAGAGATACAGGTTTGGTGGACAGACTGTGAGATGGATAAGGAATTAGCTAGGTGGTCACATCTAAAGAGTTACGCTCAACAGTTCAATGTCCATCTGAAAACCAGTAATGAGTGGTACCCCTCAAGGGTCTGTATGGGGACCAATACTATTAAATATCTCCATTATGACATAGTGGGATCAAGTGTAACCTCAGCAAGTTTACAGATGATACCAACTTGAGTGGCGTGGTTGACATGCCTGAGGGATGGGATGCCATCCAGAGGGACCTTGACAGGCTTGAGCAGTGGGGCCATGTAAACCTCATGAAGTTCAACAAGGCCAAGGTCAAGGTCTTGCACCGGGGTCAGGGCAATCATCACTATCAGAACAGGCTGGGGGATTAATTGATCAAGAACACCCCTGAAGAAAAGGACTTGGGGATACTGGTTGATGAAAAATTGGACATGAGCCAGCAACATGCACTCGCAGCCCAGAAAGCCAATTGCATCCTGGGGTGCATAAAAAGAAGTGTGACCAGCAGGTTGATGGAGGTGATTCTTCTTCTCTATTCTGCTCTTGAGAGACCCCACCTGGAGTATTGCATTCAGCTCTGGGGTCCCTGGCATAAGAAAGACATAGACCTATTAGAGTGGCTCCAGAGGAGAGCCACAAAAATGATCAGAGGGCTGGAACACATCTCCTATGAAGAAAGGCTGAGAGAGTTGGAGTTGTTCAGCCTGGAGAAGAGAAGGCTCTGGGGAGACACCTTGCAGCCTTTCAGTATTTAAGCAAGGGTTATAAGAAAGGCAGAGAGACGACTTTTTACCAAGGCCTGTAGTGACAGGGCAAGGGGTGATGGTTTTAAACTGAAAGAGAGTAGATTTAGATTGCATATAAGGAAGAAATTTTTTACAATGATGGTGATGAGACACTGGAACAGGTTGCCCAGAGAAGTTGTGAATGCCCCATCATTGGAAGCTTTCAAGGTCAGGTTGAACAGGGCTTTGAGCAACCTTGCATCTAGTGTAAGACATCCCTGCCCATGGCATAGAGGTGGGACTGGAAGATCTTTAAAGGTCCCTTCCAGCCCAAAGCATTCTGTGATTCTATGATTCTATGAAGTTTGAGATGCCGGACTGTAGCTGCAAAATCTTGTGTAATTAACAATGGCTACAGAAAGAAAGGCATGATTTTAAGTGGGATTATGCTATGATAATGGAAGTTTCATTTCTTAATATTATTGCAGGGGAAAGGCAATCTTCTGGTTAAGAGAGAGTTTTAAATAGCAGTCAGGGTATTCCAGAGAAAACACGGAGATTCCCAACTGTATGGAAGAAACAATTTTATGTCAGTATATAAAGACATTACTGTCTACTGCATCTCCGAGTTATTGCATTATTCACGTTACTGACATCTCAGTGAAATGTCCTGTCCAGCTGATGCTACAAACCTCTCATTTCTTCCTTGTTCCAGTGTTGCATAAACACAGGCATTTTTTCCAAACCATGTGTATTAAGTGAGAAGAGCTTGTGGAAAACTCATTTCCCATGGAAAATGCAAAATTCTAGAATGGTCTAGAAAAGGATGGATTTTGTCAAATTTCCACATTTGAAAAAAGTTACACTCAAAAGGAATCAAGCTCTTCTTTAAACACTTTTTAATTATTGAAACAAAACCTTTTGATTAATTTTGCAATTTTTTAATTTAGTTGTAAATATTTCTGAGGGAGGCTGTTTGTTTTGACAATAATCTCAGTCTCTTGGGACAAAATACCTGTTTTCCACCTCTTAATTCTGCAGCATATCAGACAACAGTAAGATTAGTATTTTGGATTTTCTGACCCCCATCCCTGTAGCAGTTGATCTGAAAGACCCTGCATCTGGTTCTGCATCAGTGATACTAAAGGCTACATCTTTGCATTATTAGAATTAACTAAGGAATTGAGTTTGAGATTTTTTCAGCTGAAGTATTCATACTGGATTTTTGTCAAAATAATACATATATAATTACTCCAGTTTTCCAGAAAAAAATAGCTTTGCAGAGAAGGTATACCACTTTTGCATTAGAAGTGAGTTAAGGAGGACAAAAAACTCGTTCTCCCTTATAGCATTCCACTTTCATGCCTTGGGGCTTTTTGCCCTCACCCCTATGGCAAGATCAGAATGACAGTCTTAGAGTTCCTCACACATATAATTCGTCAGGAGTCAAGAGGGAGTTCTGCAAGGCAATCAGACACTTGGAGAAGAATATGAACCCCTTGAATAGAAGGTCTACTAAAGGTATAATTATAAGAGGATTTTGTATTACGCATGTTTTAAAGCATGACTTTAATATTTTCTATTTGACAGCTAAAATATTTTTTCTGCAGTACATGTGTATTTGTACAATAAAAAGCTGTGGTGGTTTTGAGTGATAACTGAAACAATTTGGCAGCTGTTGGGACAACTACAAACTGCAGAGTATCTTAAATTGCTATACTGAAGATAGGGTTTTGGTTGGGTTTTTTTAAATGCATGAAGTTTACTGTCTAGCAGAACTGGACAAAAGACTGAAGTGGGCAGTTTAGGAGACAGGGGAGGGAGAACAGGGAAGGAAAAACTCAAAACTTAATGAAATTACATTTATATTTAGCCATCACAGTTTGTATCAAGAAACTCCTGAAAGCACAAATACTTAAGCTATTTTACTCATGACCCTAAAAGCATAGTCATATTAATGAATACAAATGTACAGGTCATTTCTTACGTGCATTTTCACTGGGATTGAAAATCATGAAGGGTACATTAAAAATGCAAATTTAACTACAAATTTCATGCAATTAAAGCGGTCTTCATTTAAAGTCTTCTTATCCAGACATTCCATAAGGACTAGAGAAAAAATTATTTCAAATTCAAACAACCATTAATCTGAGGTTTTGTTTTAATTATTGGAAAATGTTCAATAGTAAAATTCCTCTTTCAGGGAAAAAATTAAGATCTTTTGACCCTCTTTTCGGCTCGTGTGAGCAATTTAGATGTCATGTAATGAAGCTGATTTTCCTAACGGGAAGCACAGGAAAAGAACTGGCTTTTATTAGAATATACTTGAGGTACTTAACAGTGTGGCAGCTCAATCTGTACGTCACTTTATATACTTCAACAGCTGCCATGTAAGGCAAGTTTAACACCTAGATTTATAAGTTCTAGTGAGTATACCTGGTTTCCGTTTCAATTTTTTATTTTTTCATCTCTTTGAGACAGTATTTCATCTCTGTAACTGATTTTTTTTTCATTTTTGTTTGCTTTAGGAGCATTTTGTTTATGAAAAAATCCAATATATTTGTACAGAGAGATTTATATCCTCCAGTGGGAACTGGTTAAACAATTATATAGGTCGCTAGAATCTAGCAATGCATTTTTTTCCATTTTAAACCTACTCTTTCATCTGCAGAAATCCTCCAAGGAACAGAATAAAGTTGGGAGAATCACACATCTGTCCTCTTTTCATTGTCAGTTTCAAATTCATTTTTTCAAAGAAAGCATACTGTAAACTTACGTGAGTTCATAGGCAAGTGTGCCCAAAGTTTTAAATTAACATTGTTGCTCAGTTAAGTTGTACAGTTAGAAAACTACTACAAAACAGAAAAGCAAGATGGGCCCTGGCATGAAAATATTTGTAAAATATTCGCTTCTGTATTTCTCCATTGTAAGAAAGTGGAAACATGGAGAGACTTACATGACCAAGTTTAGTTACATGAAACTTAATTTCCCCAATATAGATCCCCTTTGAAATAAATAGGTATACATGCCTGCCTGAACCATTACGCTAGGCTTGGTCTGTATCAAACACTGCATTCCACACCTCAAGTTAAATTTAAAGACCAAACCCTCAGAGACAGGAGGTGCTCTGAATCAGGACTGTGCTCGCCTGAGGATGCGACATAGGTGCCACAGTAGAATCTTCTTGTGTAATACAGAGCAGCAAGCAATCTGATTTATGCTAGGATGGGTAGTATTCCTTTTCCATGAAAATACATTGGGTTGAAAAGAGAAATAGGAAATGTTTTGCTAAAGAAACCCGACATGCAGGGATGGTCTGGCTGCAGAGCTGACTTAGCCTGACATTACAGCTCTTGGATGTAGCAGAGCGGAACAAAATAGCCCCACTACATAACTGAGGATCAGGACCTTCACACATTTAAAAATATGCACAAGTGCCTTGGGAATCTCCTTAAAGTCAGCTCCAAAACTTTTCCTGAGCTGGCTGAACACATCAATTCTTTGGCCAAAACCAGTATATCTTTTCTGCTCACTGAGGCCTTAGTGCTTCCTGGCTGCAGGAAGCTACATTTATACTGTACCAGATTTCTTAAGGTATTTATTGTCATTCTTTGTAATTGTGTTTAGATGTGATAAGACAGATGATGGTTTAGAGGAATGAAAATGAGCCAGATGAAAATGTGGCGTTAAGAAAACCTTTGAATACCAAAAGGATTTCCTTTGTGTTTTCTTTTCTAATCCAAGGGAAAGACAAAGTAAAATGATCTGTCTCCTGAAAAACAGCTATTCTTACCACAGGCCAGAGAACATCCTTCACTGAACGTAATATCATCAATGGCAACAGTTTCATCTTGTCTCTGGGTCTCCACCATCCCCCAAAAGATAACCTGCCGAGATTAACAGCAAATCAACAAGAAATGGCATTCACCAGTGTCAGAGACAAGAGAAAAAAACCTTCCAAGATATGCCAGTCTAGTCCATAGAGTTTCTATCAGAAATCATGCCCTTAACAATTCTGCAGGATTACCATCCTGGTTTTTTTTCACACATCTGTGGCTTGTCAGCACAGATATGTAGTCTAATCATCTAACTCAAGAGTGAAGTAGCATTTAACAGGAAGGATCTGAAAACCATAATAAAATACATTAAAATCTAAGCAAGGATCACAACAGTTAAGAAATACAAAGGATTTTGTATTATGCTTTATCAAGCCATTATTCCGCCAGAGACTGGAAATGCGAACCTTTTCTGGTTGCTTTCAGAATTTATCACAGACCCAGAGCAGAGTCAGAGCAACAAACATCATCAGTCAGAAGTCTTTCATGAAGTTTTTAGCCAAAACAAACCTTAAGGAGTACTTATTCAACTGTTATTCTTCTCTAATGTTACAAGTGTATTTATTTTTTCCTAAGAGACTCTTCTATACACAAAAAGTTACAAATATTTTACATTTCCATCTTGAGGGCAGATTTCAACCTACATCTGTAAATGTAGAGACTACCAGGTTTTTTTGCAGTGATGTAGAAGGGGACTGATCATCAACAGTCCTTGGGAAAAGCCAACAAAACCCACATCAATCAAAACAACCCAACAAATTGATCATATGAATAACATTCTTAAATTATTCCCTAGCCACACCTTGGGATGTTACAGCTCTAGGCTTTTCCAGAGTTCTGGGGACACAATCTACCTAGAGGTACGTTCTAGCTCTTAATAGCAAATGTACAGTGTTAGCTAGATAATAAGTTTTCAAATACTAGCTTTAGAGTTCACAGGCAATGTTGTGCCTAATTTAAGAGATCATAGCAGAAAGCCTGCATTTATCCTATAAATTATCATCAAGAGTACAGTATTCCACTATACAAGATGACACAACCTAGCCAAGGATATGACCATTATGTTATGAGTTGGGGTTTTGGGGGGGGTGTTTGTTTATTTGTTTTTCTTAAGCTGTAGTTGACCTGCACAAGAAGTCTGGCAGCCTGTAAAGTCAAACTATCCTGGCATTATGCAACCAGAGAGAGGTGTAATGTTATCTCCTATATCACCAGTGAGAAATCCAGGTCTAGTTGTTTTTTTTTTTAATATATATATATACACACATACGCGCATTTTTTTATTTATTTAACACTGCAAAGAGAAGAATGGCTGGTAACCACTTTCTCTGGCAATTATTCTATGAAAACCATTGTTAGTAGACACATGGACAACTGCATTTTTCTAATACAGTATTGTTAAGAAATACTGTCACCCCATGTGTTCATTCTTCTTTGATCACCTGTAGCACAATAGAAAGAATGCAGTTCACTGAAATCCAGAAATTTTGAAGGAACAGGGTTAATCCTGATATGTTTTTGTTTGAAATTCTTTTCTTATAATGATGTTTATTTCATTTCATGTTGATGCCTACTTGGAAAGAATAACTATGCCACACTAAATATTAATAGCATCATATCACAATCAATAATATGTTTATACGACTGAATTGCAGTACCTTGGAAATGTGTTAATTTGATTTGTTTCAGAAAACAATCTTTTGAACTGTTGAATGTTGCTGCAACAACATGTATAGTTAATATTATTTAATATCAAGGATTTGACAAATATTTGACCTTTTCACATTGATTTTTCATTGTGAGGTCAAAATCTAGTTATTAATAACTTCATTTATAATACATATTTATATATAGCTTGCAGTTAGGGCTTTATAGTCAGATTTTATTTTTAAGTGAGACAGTGATTTAGACAATGCTAAAGAGATGCACTCTCACTTTGCTGGTGCAAAATCAGAAGTGGCTTTAAGTTCATATGCCACTGGAGCACACAAAGTATTTGACAACATGTGTTTCCTCAAAACTCATGAACAGTTTGTTTATGTGGTCAATATAATAAAAAGCATAGATTTAAGAGGCTTGCTTTAAATGTATATGTTATCAATGTCTCTACAAAGAGCTCCTTGCTGACTGATGTTGTAGATATTCAACACATACTGGTATTCTGAACAGCTGGGGAAGCTTCTCCAATGACAAAAGAAAACAGCTATTTCTATTTAAAAGTGTTTGACTACAGAAGGGGAGTCAGGTGCCCTGAAGTATGAAAGGTTTACTACGGACTGAACTAGGAGCAGAGTCAGTGCTGCAACTCTGAACCTACCTCTCTAGAAAAGCGTTAGTTCTATTTTTTTCTTCATCATGTCTTAACTTCCCCACATGACAAAAAAATCATGTGAGATGCCTCCAGCTGCCCTTGGGTCTAAAAAGAAGGTTACCCAGGCTTTATTTGTCACAGATACCCATCTGCCCTCCCCTGAGGCGTTCAGTCCAATAATAACCAACCTGACTCCAATCCACATTTATGTGAGCTAGAAGTTGTTTAGTTTTCCCTTTCACATGAAGTCTAGAGCTCTTTCAGTCCCAAAATCTGTAATGAAAATGTCTACTTAATAACACTATTTGCTCATAACTGTAATTAATAAGTGCTGCCTGAATATGCAATATCTATGGCCATCAGAACAAATTAACACTGCAGCTCAATTAGCAGCAAGGAAAGCTGTAATGGGAATGTCGGTGGGATCTAAAACAAGCTGGGCTTCCCCCACAAGTACAGCCATGGCAAAGCCCAAGGTAAAACATAGGAATCAAGCATGAAGACAAAAGTGAACCCCAAACCCAGAACCATTTCCCTTAATGAAGTCTCGGAGACAGAAATCTGTTCTCAATAGAACAGAGAGAAAGTAGTTTGGGAGAGCAAACCATGATATAGTTCTCCAAAACCCAGCCAAAACAAACATACTGAGCTTGTCATGTATTGAGTAATTAAAGCAGTGGTAATCTTTGTATTTCAAAATTCCCTACAGGTGGGGATTTTTGAAAGCCAAAACCAAATCCCCTATCCCATAAAGAGCTAATCAAGCCTTTTTTTTTTTTTTTTTTTTTTAAGTAGGAAGAGACAAAAGTATTAAATAATCAACATCAAAATAAGCAAAGCAAATAAGCAGCAGAGGTTGATTTTAATTAAAATCTCACCTCAAATGCACTTGCAAAATTGACAAAAATACTCAAGCACTGTATTTCAAAGAGATTTCTACACCCCAAAAAAAGTATTATTTTCCCATTCATTTTTTTTCCATAGAAACTTTACTCATCAAAATTTTATCTTGAAAAGTGCCACAGGTAGCCCTCTAGGCTAAAGATCTTGCCCATTTGCACTTGTTCTTTTGATATGGCAAGTGAATTGCATTCACTTGTATGACCAGCATCTTGCGAGTTGTCACTGGAGGAAAAACATACAGCCAAAGACGAAAGTTTGCTCAGCTTCATCGTCTAGGTTTAGGGAGGTACTCAACTACATTTCTTTAGCCAATTGTAATGATTACTGCAGTAAGTTTGACAAATGCCTCTAAAGCTGGACTGTACCCATCAGTTCACTTTATAGAGGCCAAAGGATAACAAGGTTTGTAAGCAATAATTTAATTAGGATTTGATCCAGAAATTTAGAGGAAGAAGATGCCATATTATATTAACCATTCCCAGGTTCACTCAGTTTTCTAAATAATATGAAGGATGAAAAAGTAAATCTAAAAGTTAATCCTTCTGGTACAATCTCATATTGCTCTACATATATCGGGTAGAGGCAAGGTATTGACAAGTAACAACATTGATACTTGTGTTGAGTTAGGTACAGGTGTTTCATAACATACATTCTCAGTCAGGGTTGAGCAGGCAAGTATTATTTCAAAAATCCAGATCTTGTTGGATGCTTTAGCACAACATTACCTCTGCAAGTCAAGTAATTATGTTACTCATATGGTTTATTGAAATGAGGTTGTGCTTTCATGCCTTCAGGTTTGTATGCTAACCAACTCTTCGGAGTAACTACTGGAGGAGGAAATGCCTCTAATTTTCTTCTCTGCTCCCCACTTTCCCTCCAGTATTATGCATAACAGCAAATATACATCATCCACGATATTATAGCCCTAAGTTACATTTACTGTGCTAATGTTTTGTGTAAATGCACATGTAAAAACATTTAAATAGCCTATGAGACTTGCATTGTTTTTCAGCAGCTTTGAGCAAAATAAAACCATATGCATGTGCTCTGTGACAAAGGCTCAAAGCTACAATGAATAGTTAAGTACAGTATTTGTCATGTGAAGCATCCCTATAGAACAGTATCTCATAGTATAGGATGGTATTTCCTACATAAATTAAACCTTGAGTTTATCAGTACAGTTAGATTGAGGCTAAGGGAATACTGTATTGAAATTTAAGATCCCGAGTATATCACCTTTATGGGCAGGTAGATAATTTATGATATGATGAGACTGATTGTTTTATTTAAGACACATGCACAGTTTAAGTAATGTTTAGCATTAGTTTTAACACCACCAAGAGATAAGAAAAGGCAGTATTTGTTAAAGACAACTATGAACTTCCAAATGGCTTCTCTCTCTCTTACCTCATGCTAATGCTTTCCATTTACAAAATATTTAGGTTTGACTTATTAAAAACCCCACAATTTATAAACCATTTGACAAGTGCAATTTACAGTCACCTCAATTTACCAACCTCATACTTTTCAGTGCTATTGATTGTGATGGTATTTGCTTTCCACTGATTTTGCAGTTCTCCTGAAACTTGCCAGATGTTTGTAATAGTATCTTCAGAGTGCTTTTGAAGCCCCACCATCAACGTTCCACTCATTTGACTGATCCAATAATGAAATGTGATCTAGGAGGATGAAAAAGATCTGATTATTCCAGGGAAGTACTATGACAAACAATGCAATCAATACAAGGACTATGCATCAAAATACCTGGCAAATGTGTTCTTCATCATTTGGAAGGAAAACATTGGTCCTTAAAGTTGCAGAAGAGGATCGCATTTTAGAGGACAACGAGAGGAAATAAGCTATTAAAAGGAATAAAAAGAAAACTTAGAAGCTTGGAGAAAAGTTATATAAAATATAACAGTAAAACAAGAAGAGGCATACATACAGGTATGAATTATTAACTAAAAAGCCAACTAGAAGTTCTTCCCCAAAAAAAGATTCATATTACCCTTGTAGCCATTGCGTGCCAAGCTTTTGTTCATATTAAATATTGACGTAGCATTGTTCCACATTGCTGTAGAAATTTCGAGTAGGGCTCGAAAATGTTTCATGTGCTGATGGCTTGAATACTTAATTAGTAAGTGCAAAATTTTGAGACAAAGTAGGACTAACTCAGCAAGCTGATCAAAGAGCTTAAACTCCAATTATTGAATAGATCACATGTTTCATGCCTAAACAACAAACTCTTGTGACCAACAATACAGATTTTTTACAACAGTTCAAGTCTTCAAGGAGGTGGTGGAAGATGGGACAGGAGGGTATGGTGTTCCTCTCTTCCACAGGACATGGGTCTGGTTTTTGCCTGCTCAGCAAATTGCCTCACTGCAGAAAGGAGGTCGTACTATCCTTGTACACAGTCCCAATATAAAGGGTTGTCTTCAGAATCTCCACACTACCATTAAAGATACCATTATCTTTCCATGTACAAAAGAACTCCAAATAAAGCTTTGCTTTACTTGGAAGTATAACAACTCAAAAAGAGTCAGTGAAATATGGTTGTTGCTATGCCTTTTGACTGATTCTGTCTCTTCCTGACAATATTGTTTCAGATGTTCTAAAAGATGGAAGGCAACCACCCTATCTTAGGATATCAAATACTGCTGGTCAAAACTTGGCTCTTCCTGAACATGAAGATTTCAGAGACGTTAGATGTTACAGGATGCAAGGGCGGGGGGGAAGGCTCAACTTCTTTTATTAATTTTTTTTTTTCTTCCTTTCCATTCTCTCCTACTTCCCAAACTCCAAGCAATGTCAGGTAAATTGTTGCCCTCTGACATTAACATGTAAATGAAAGGAGAATTATGAAGGAGAAAAAAGCAAAGTGGCATTGAAGGAATAATAATAATAATAATAAAAAAAGTCCTGATAATAAAGATTACTACAGAAACCAAATATCAGAGCATGTGTAGTAAGATCTAAATACTTCATTTATAAAACTACCAACCCTGACCTCTTATCCTTGCATGCAATTGCAAAGTCACTGACAATGGACCATAAGACTAGGTCAGTGCTGGAGCCAGCTGAGCAATCCCCCCCTGGAGAAGCATTTTGCAGCCTGCTACCAGAGCTGTGGCCATGCTCCTCCTAGGTTTTAGGCCTTTCATGACTGCTCAGGCAGCACTTTCAGAGCCTGCCAGCTGCAAGGATATTCTTCCTACCCACAACAGATGGCTTGGTGCCTCAGCAGAGCTCTATCCCTGACTCCAATCTGTTTCATTTGGTTTTAAATTTCATAAAATTTTGAACTTTTTTCTTTCAGTTCCCTAAAGGTAAATGTATCTAAGACTCATAAACAAGGTCAGATTTCACCAGCCACAGGAATTTTAAGTCTTACACAGATTGGGCAGAAGTAGCAATTTTAAGAAATTCTTTGAACAGTGATTTTACATTAAACCTCTGCACAGATAGCAGGTTTCAATTAGTAAAAACAGGTTGTATTTTGTTTTGTGTGTTTTTTTAAAGTGGTTGTCACTAGTATGTTCAACTATATTTTCAGTGAAAATAAGAACCATGAGAAGAGACAGAGCTAAAAGACTGTGTTGGGTTCTTGTAAATGATTACATACATCTTCAAAGGAGTTCCATCTACCAAGTGATCTTTGCTCTTCTGCTAATGTGTGTGCAATTACTTACCCTGATGGCAGGAACTCTTCCTTTTAATACTCTGCTCAGTTGTCACCATACAATATAATTTCTGGTCTTTAAGCAAGAACCAACATAAAACTGATTACACAGTCTGTTGAGTCACCAGCAGCGAGAAAACTTGAATAGCTGCCATAAGGAGATAAATATTTCCTAGGCGATTAGAGCCAGTATTCAGAAAATGAAAGCACAGTTTAGCCATTCTCCAGGTAGAAAAGTGAAATAACCAAATACATCTAAATCTCCTTAGCCATTCAGTTCACAGATCTGAGTACACAGCCTCCCAGAAAGCTGATTAGGTACAGGTATTCAAGCTTTCTGTTATCTGATCAAAATAACTTAGATTAACATGACAACTGCATAGTTCAGACCTGGCAGGTACAATGGTGACTGAGCACCAAAAACAAGTCAATGGGATTATACAGGTGACTGAACAGTTTGCTTCCTCTGTAACGAACACTTGAAGTTGATGGTTCTCCATCCTTTGCTGGCTTTGGGTTTCTGCGTAGTGTTAAATTTTCCCCTCCCCACCAGTTCTTCGCAAGATAAGGGTAACCTTTTTTATTGGTTATAAGCAAGAATATCTTTCAGGTCTTTGCTACATCCTCATGCAGTGTATATTCCTGATAAAGCACAAAGCCTAAAAACTTCAGATAGAGCAAGACTGTTGCTTGGTTAATTTTGATTCTAGCCAAGAGTTTGCTATATTTTTATTCCATAACATTTGTCTTTTATCTGCTTCTTGATGGGAAGAGCTGTTATTATTTTAAAGATAAAGTGTTTCACAACTTACATACTTAAAATAAAACTTGTGTTTACGGAAAAAGGTTTGGTAGTTACTCAAATTTTTGTGCTACCATCAGTATAAATCAACATTTAAGTGCAGCCTTATCTCAGAAGCATAATATACACAAGGATATGCTTGTATGCTACACACAAACAAAAAATGAAGTTGTTAGAAGCACATCGCATGGATAAAGTTTCTTAATCACAGAGCATCATGAAAATTGTCAGCTGTGGAATAAGAACTTGCAGGAACATTCAGAGTGGGTTTTTTTGTTGATTTTTTTCTATGATAATTTTTTAAATTTCTGTGCCATTTTAATTTTGTTGATTTCTAAGCAAGTTTTCCATGCATTCACCTTTAAACCACCAATTCACATTAATCATTATACAGAGCTTCTACCTGTTTGGTAGCTTACGCAATGTGTAGGAGGTGCTGCTTGCTCCAGAACAGTACAGATTTCCACACCCCCAGATAATCACAGTTTGGGAATGAGGTGAAAAACACCTAGGCTAATCAGTCTTACAAAGACACTTTAGTCCCACATAAGGTTACATTCTTGTACACCCTCCAACACTGCATGCCTGCCTTCAGGTGCTTGCTCCGAGGGCTGCAGCAGCACTGTTTGTACACAGGAGAGGTGAGAGGAGGTGGGTGGAGAGAAAGGGAAAGAGAATAAAGGAAAATAAGGAGGAGAGGATTAAATGGTTTGGGGTGATCACTTCAACCAGCTCACATCTTTATTGTGAGATTAGATGTCCCCATCAAATTCCTTCCTCCTTCCTTGCTTTCTTACGAGCATGCCTTCTAACAGCTTTGGAAAGCAGAAGGCTTACTGCAGCTAAAAAAGTTGGGGCAAGGTAGCTAAAAAGGTATGAAGAAAATCATGTATTACAGAGTGAAGAAGCCAGGTTTTGGAAAGCAGGGTTAATTTGGCAATTGGGCAAGTATAAGGGACATACTTTGTCTGAGGACAGGGACCACTAATTACTTAGTTGAGGGACAGCCTTTGATGAGCAGTGGAATTGTAATAAGATTTAGAGAGGAGCTGGCTCAAACAGGCTATCAAAACTCTTCTGTCCCCAGATCCAAAGTCATCTTCTCTCAAAATATTTAGACCAGCATTATTAGCCACAGATAATAGATACACACGCTCCGGGCACTCACCTATCCAAGAAGAAACAAAAATAACATCTCAAAATGGGACACCCAATACTAATTTCTAAACTTTGCAACCATCAAGACTGAAATTATCACCTGATATCTCCAAAACAGGTAAAGGTCATTCAGGTAGATGAACATGACTCTTAATGAGTGATTACTTGCTCCGCCATAATAACAAGAATTGCTTTCTAGAATACTGTCTTTTTATCTGGAATTCTGCATTATTGTAATTACAATCACCCAGAAAACTGGACACAACTATTCAGAAAACATGCGGCAGAATACAATTGAACTATTAAGACATTAGTAAAATTAAGCAACTTATAAAATGGAGTACTATGTCATTTGTAAGAGCCCATGGTTCTTTCAAAGAACTTGAGGATTCTATGAGGATTCTTACCACTGTCATTCCCATTGTGGTCAGAGTACGGTGGTCCCACGCTAGACTGACCATTTCTTCTTATCCATCCAGGCTGTAAATTCAATTCATGAAGAGCTTTGCATAGATCAGTTTCAAAATCACACTTTTCACAGGAAGAACCTGAATTAAAGCAAACAAACAAAATATTAAAACATCAAAAACAGAAGCAGAGGGATATTTTCTCACCATTGCTTGCTATTTAATTAGCACAGAAAACCACTCTGTACAGCCTCCTAAAAAAAGTAAGAAATGTCAGAATTTTTAAATCATGAACAAACTGAAATGGGGCAGTGGAAGAGAGACAAGAGCAAATGAATATTGAAAAAAAAAAACCAACAACAAAACGAACCACCAAGCCTTCCCCCTGCCAAACCAAACTCAAACCAGTCCATTTATATTATATCACTGTAACCTATGCTTTTCCCTTCACAAATATCTTTGTAGCTACCTACTTGTGGGAAACTGTCCAAGCTAGCATAGCTTACATGCAAAGGCTGTTCTTAAAATATATTGCAGCATTCAGCTAGAGAATTTCAGTATATCCTCCATTTATCCAGGGTTCTCACTTAGCAAAACAAAGACTTAACACCAGGAAATAACCAGACAGTAAAAATATTTTTTTTTATCCCACTACTGTTTCTTTCACCATTTTGCAGCCTACATTTTTGGGGAACATAGTATAAGTTAGTATCTGGGAACTTAGTGTAAGTATAAGGCCATTCCCAGAAACCCCCCAGGGCCTAATAACAGAAAGGTGAGGCTCTTATCATCTGACAAACTCCGAAGTTTGCCAGTGCTCATCACCTTTACTAAGCTGCTGCATAAAAGCAGAAACCACTTTGTTCAGAGAAGAGCTGAAACAAGTCCTCAGAATGACATAGTCTCCCTATTTGTCTTTCCTCTGACTTTATTTCTTCCAGTGCTCATAGCAATGTGGTGGGGAAGGACTGCTTCTCCCCCTTCCGCATTCCCCTGTAGGGCAGCATAGGTTAGAAAAGGGAGGCAGAACACGTCTTTCTGGCACAGGACTCAGTTTGGTGTACCAGTTCATTCAGGGAATTTGAGGCGGGTATGCAACCAGATAAATAATTGCTTACTTGGAGGGAGGGAGGGAGGGACAGATGTTTCTTTCTACTCTGGTGTCAGACTGCCCATTTTTGCATCACATCCAAGCTGAATGAAAGAGCTTACATGTGCCTGATAGGCTGGATGGCCCCACTCCTTGAACCACTTCTTGTAGTGGTGGGAGGATTTTTTTAAAAAAAAAAAAAAGTCTAATCAGATGCATCTTTAAAGAGGAGGCTTATTGCAACTTCACCCCAAGCAGAATGGCTGGTATGCGAGACTCCTCCAGATTTCATGCGCTCTGTAGAAACTTTCAGTTCACCCGCATTTTCCCTTACACAGCAGAGGAGGATAGGTTCAAACTCTGCCTTCTAATCACAATTCTGGTTAGACATGAGAGCTACAATGCCTTTGCACTTCCTCTCAGATTGGTGCTCACTCCAGGCCCCTGCTAATGCTTTCAGTCTATTCTATATTATCACAGTTCACTAATCATTTTAAATAAAGTTGCAACTGCAGCGTTTATAGTCACACTATGATGTCCAATTTCACGGCTTTCATATTCACATCAACTCACTGCAACAATTAATTATAAGGCGAGAGAGGGGAAAATAGATATAATTCACGTAAGCATTCCAGACTCAAGTTAATGTGTAGATTGGCTGATTCATCAACCAACTTTTAATTGCTGCTTTAATTCCTTAGCTCTTTAAATGGCTGAAAGGCATGTCACTGGTTCATCAAAATCACAAACACTGCTGAGGCATATCTGCTTCACATTACATAAAATGCACCAAATCACATTCAGTATTTCCTCAGGAATTTCCTCATAGCTGAAAAAACAATTTAAATTGAATGTGTAGAAAATAGAAAGAACAGTACCTTTTTAAATTAAAAAAAAATAAACCCTTGATCATTCATTATTATTTTCCAAGGCAATATTCATTTTCACAAAAAATACAACTTGAAAGCAAACCAATGTAAATTTGCTGGAAGATAGATTTACAAAGATAAAGTCACTGCTTAGAGAGGAAAAGACCACGGGAAATGTGTGGGATGTTCTAGATATTTTTTGCAGAATTTCCTGTGAACAACACAAATATTTAAAATAACCTCTAAGGAAAAAATTTAAGTCTCACAGAAACAGACCACAGTTTAAAGTTCTGTTTCAAGTGTGTATGTGTATAAAATCTCATTTTGGGATATTCTGGGAGCAAAATATTTTTAAAAATAGTTAGTTACCATTCATTCTCTAGTGAATATTTTGCAATAGTGGTTCAGAGATAAAAAATGACTGTAGGGTTTATTTTGTTGCTTTTCCAATGCTGTAGCAAAACAGAAACAAACCACATGTGAATTCCAAAATTACGATAAAAACACATCATCTGAAATTCCAACTTTGATATATTTTCAGTGCAGAAACATCCTTAAAAGCTGAGTAGAGCCCAGAGAAAACAGAAAGGACCTGTCACGGAGAAGAGATTGGAGAGCTGAAAACTAAGTAGAAAAATAATTTGTCAATAATCCCAAATCAGAACAGGGGCTGGCAGCAGGATGAATCTTCAGTTTGACACCCTGATCTGTATCTTTATGTCTGACAGCTAACTTCTCTCCTGGAGTGATCCAGAGCATTATTCAAGCAGCCCCAGCATCCACAGCCTGTCACTGAGAGCATAGTTCCATGCCTCTGGCTCATCCATACTTAAAAATACAACATTTTTTTGTATTTAGGACTTTCACAGAGCCCATAGATTCATTTTTCTTAATTAGTCTTTGGAGCAACCTTTAATCTCTCTACTTTCATATAAGCATTTGTCTATAGCAGTATTCCCTCAAAAAAAAAAAAGTATAAAAAGCCTCCATAAAAATTAATGGAAGAATGCATCTCTTGCTGCATATTCTGCAATCATAATAGAAAGTGTTGCCTGGAGGAGATGCTCTTTCTAGGGAAACCAAGACCGAGCACAATGAGGATTTCAAGGCTATGCAGTGCAACATCACATAACTGTCCCTTGTGTAAGTGATTAAAAAAAAAGAAAAAAATGCTAACCTGAGACATGTCAGTCACATCAGGGGATTCAACAGGTGTAATTTCCAGCCATTGGCATTTAATACATTTCAGTAGAACACAATAAAGAAGTTACAAAATGTATTGGTATCCAATACAGTCTTAACAATTGTCTTATTTGCAGAGTTAAAAAAAATCAAGTATCCTAGAGTTAATTCTAAACTCCTGTTCCAAACAGATATCTGCATCATATTTGGATAAAACAGGGAGTCATACTGGAATAAGAAAAGTAACATGTATCTGGGCACACAAGTGTAATTTGAGGAATCTGGATTTAAGTTATTGCTCTTTCTCATGGATTTCAGCTGAATTCAATGATTTCTAACATGCTCTAATTAGCATTTTTCAGTCTGCACAGAAACACACAGGCTCATCTGAAGACAATCTACTTTAAATTTAAAGCTAAACCTTAAAAACCCAACAAATATGGTAGCTTGATTTGTTGCACAAGTGGAGGAACTTAGATAAGCTTTTAATTAAAATTAGAATTTTTGATAAATCCAAGCTCTTTGCACTCCAGAACAAAGATCCTCAAAGAGAAGTACTATTTTATGCATCATATGAAATAATTTGCAGCATCATTTTGTGCTACAGTATTCTGGAAATAGTAGATTTCTGATGCAAATTTACCCAGACACTAGCAGTTAAAAATCACTCTCACTGCCTCGATTTTTCCTTTGAGGGAAACAATAGCAACTGTATTCAAAGCCTCTGATTGTGATAAAAAATACGCTAGGATTATCAGTTCATGAATTCAAGAAAATTTTCCCCCTTGTCTAGACTAAAAAAAAAAATAAATAAAATGCTGTTGTCGCTTATACCTTGATCTTGAATTTCAGCAAACAATTTTACCATGAATTAAGAAAAAAAAGTAATATTTGTTAAATCTCCATTGAATTTATGTGGATGAGGAAACACTTGCTTTGTTACATAATATGCATATGAAGATTTATGAGAGTTGCACTGTATAGAGTTTGAAAACTAAGCAGGAAAAATCAAACTGAAACAGGAAGAAATGCCCAAATAAAAAAAAAAGTGGGGGGGGGGGGGGGAGAGAATTCCCAAACATTTTTGTAACCAAAAAAAAATGCCCCCCTAGTTCTCTCTGCTGCCATGTTCAGTTATCAAACCATATCACACTTATGATGAAGCCCACGGAGATATACCTTGTTTCTCATCACTGCTGCCTCCACGCTGGTTGGTGAAAATGCACAGTTCCCCAGATGGAGCAGAGGAGCCATCACCACGTTGGCATCCGCTTCCTGCAGGTGACTGAGTATCTACCAGAGCACAGCAATATAACACCCAGAGTATGAATCTGTTCATGGGCTACGTTACTATCCAAGCTTTCACCTGGAAAATAATTACTTGAACTGTCTAATATTGGTCATGAAGCGTCTTTGCAAAAGCTGTATTTACACACATATCTCTGAAAGATGTTTTTAGAACCTCACTTTCCGAATCTGCAGCTTAAGGGAAATATGGTTTCTGCAAAGCAGTGACTTTTAACCTGGTGTGTCTTTGGATAATATTTAACTGAATTATAACATTGTTTTATGACTTAAAAGTTTTGGTGCATGCTATGCAAGTCAACTGTATATCATTAACTTACTGATCGAATTTATTGCCCGATAGTTTGCAAATATGTTAGATAAGAAAATAACAGGAAAACAGAGTAGAATTACTAAGTGACCAACATTCATAAAGATCTCTTTTCTCAGAGGGACTTGGCAAATGCTTACAAAACTTACAAAGAGTTTGTGCATCAAACATAGAAAACAGCAGAGAAATTCAAAGTTGATTTTGCATCAAAAAGATTGTAAGTGACTGATCTAGGGAAAGAATTAGAATTTACAGAGCCTGTAGACGTATGATGCTGATAGTTGAAAGGGGTATCTTGTCCTGGTTTCAGCTGGGATAGAGTTAATTTTCTTTCTAGTAGCTGGTATAACGTTATGTTTTAGGTTCAGTATGAGAAGAATATTGATAACACACCAATGTTTTCAGTTGTTGCCAAGTAGTGTTTAAAGTCAAGGATTTTTCAGGTTCTCATGCCCAGCCAGCGAGAAAGCTGGAGGGGCACGAGAAGTTGGGAGGGGACACAGCCAGGGCACCTGACCCAAACTGGCCAAAGGGATATTCCATACCATGTGATGTCATGCCCAGTATATAAACTGGTAGGAGTGGGGGAGATTGCTGCTCGAGAACTAACTGGGCATCAGTCAGCAAGTGGTGAGCAATTACACTGTGCATCACTTGTTTTATATATTCTAATCCTTTTATTATTATTGTCATTTTATTATTATCATTATTAGTTTCTTCCTTTCTTTCCTATTATCCTTATCTCAACCCACGAGTTTTACTTTTTCCCTCTGGTTCTCTCCCCCATCCCACTGAGGGCAGGGGGAGTGAGTGAGCGGCTGCGTGGTGCTTAGTTGCTGGCTGGGGTTAAACCCTGACATATCTATTTATTATTTACTTGGGCTACAATTGTAGATAATGACCGAACTACTTTAGAGTACCTGGTTGTTAATGGAATCATATCTGCAAGTACAATTTGCATAAATGCATGAATGGACTGGCTATTAATGAATACTTTCCAAATTACTAGATTCCTGTATTTTCTGGAAAAAAATAATATTGTGTGTGATACTACTAGCGTTCCCCAAGGTTGGGAAAAAATTAGAGATACCTAGGATCCCGTATCTGAATTCTTATGAACAGTGAACAATGCGATCATACAAACCAGCACAGTCAGAATTTGTTGAAATATTAATAATAATTTGCCACCCATTGCAGGAATCCATCATTAGGGGAAACTAGCACCAATACCAACCCCAAGTATATTACCCTGCCAACATATTCAGTCTTTGTCCAGGGTTATTTAGTTATAGATATAATCCCCACTCCACCCTCATAATTTGTGTAATGACTAGTTCTGAAATAGCGCATTTAGAAGAAAAAGTGTATTGTCAGAGGTGACGCAACAGTTCCCTATTAAGCTGTCAAGAAGAGTATTTGCATTGTGTAAATAGATTTACAGTGCATTATATGGTAAGCCAATCAGGGCTCACCCAGCAGAGATGGCCATTACTAGAACATCCTCTTACAAAAGTACTCTGTCAGTACAAGAGATGCAAGTCAGTGCACTGATTTACAATCCCTTTGATGCAAAAATCAGCTTTGAATTTCTCCACTGTTTCACTGAAACACACCAGTTCTGACAAAGCTTTTACATGGATGAAACGAGGATGTTCAAATTGAGGAGGGGAAGTGGGGAGAGATATGCAGCCCATCCAAAAAGCCAACCTTGTGACAGAAGATTGAATCAACTTGTTCCATTTTTTTGCATTGCTAGACTAAACAGGAAACTATATTAACGAAGTACCTTAAGCACTTTAGATGCCCCAAACCCAGGGGAAGGAGAGATAGCAAGAGAAGGAGAAGATGACTGCAAAAGTTAAAGGACAGTATTAGCCCAAGGCAAATGACTGTGAAAACTAGACAAAATTAGGCTGACAATCATGTAAGCCTGGCTCACCTTTAATAGGAATAGCTGGATGTAAAAAAAAAAAATCCAACTACTTTCATGATAGAGTTGTATTACTTTACAAAAAGGATCATAAAATTGCCCAAGTGGCAGCTTGTAATAAGTAACTGATGCCAGCAGCTCTGAAGATTTCTTCACCTATAAATTCCCAAGACCAAATAACTGGAATGCACATAGCACTGTGCATACCTCCAATTTGCCTATTAGCCCTGGTGAGCAGAATTAAGACAAGATATATCTCTGTAACTGAAGTATGCTGATTAAGAAGCCGAAGTGCTATAGTATCTACAAAGAGAAACAGACAACCTATGTCTGGAGGCATATCAATCATTGCAGATCCATATTTTCATAATGTAAGAAATCTCTTGTCAGGGTACAAAGACTACTGCTCCAACATTGCCTGAAGGCTAGCAGTCCAAGGTCTGATGCAACTTCCTATTATCTCCAACACCAGAGGCAGACATATGTTTATTGTAACGAAGGTTTCAGTTCTGCCTAGAAAGCATTTTCCAGCTCATTTGGTTCAACTCCACCCTTTTCATCACTATCCTTCTGTGGACATCATTTTATGTGATTCATTTTAATGCTTTGTCCTCAGGACGTAAAGCTGATTGGAAAACATCCTGAAGAAAAGCAGAGTTACTAATAAATGAATTCAGAATTCATTAATATCTATATAACAGAGTTCATCAAGAATGTGTATCATTGAATTGCTTGCTTCCCTTCTGTGAGTACAGCTTAGATTAGAAGCTTATATTAAAAAAAAAACCACCAAACCAACAAACCAAACCTATTCCATATATGTCCTATTACTCCATTTGTAAAGGTTTAAATGTTTTATGCTATTCAGCTGCTTTATTTTCCAATCTATTTTCTCCACATACAATATTTCATCTTATTCATTCTTCTCCCCTACATCATCTAGAAGTCCTTCTCATGTTGTTGCACCTCACAGCGACAGGATTTCCCAGTCTCTTAACTTTCTCCCATTTTATTAAAACTTTTGCTGCAATATTCTAAGCTGTAGCATAAAATCTGCAGACAAGCTCTGTGAGCAAGAAGGTAATTTTTAGCAGAAAGTGGTATCCATTTCCATTTTTATTATGCTCCAAAACATTAACAAGAAGCTAAATTGCATAACCCAAACAAGTCAGAATCACCATAAGATCTGTTGTAAGTGGAAATAGATGAAAAATGCATCAAACATTCAGAAAGCATTCAGGGTGTTATCCAAGGATTTTTACTGAAGAAAAAAAAAAAAAAAAAGTATTTCAGTGAAGATCTAACAAAAAGCACAAAACCAAAGAAAAGGTGTCTTTTTTGCAAGTGTGTAGCTATGTACAAGGAGGGAGAGTTTCTTGACAAGTGCAGCAAGTCAGCCCTCTTCTCAACTAATAACAAGAACACCACAGTTTTTCACAGCTCTGAGAAACATATAAAAAGGGACAAAAAGATGACTTGGAAGAAAAAGACTTGCAGGGAAAGTCAAAAGGACAAACACTTCAAGTACTGAACCGCAAGCACCCTGAAAGCAGAAAGAATCAAGATCTAGAAAAAGGAGGAGCAGAGAGAGAATGAAGATGTATAAACCAGTAAAAATATGCAGGATGTCAGAAAAGCAGAAGAATGGTCAATAATCAAAGGGTTTTTTTGAAAGCAGTAGAGAAATTTTGCAGAGAAACTAAAGACTAAAAGAACAAGAAGAGCCAGGCACTATAACTTTTCAAAGTTACTTTAGCAAACAAGCAGTTCTCAAAAAGGAAAAGAAAAAGTTAAAATAAAAACCTGCTTGAGTTTACATTTATCTGGCTTAGCCTAATTCATTTAATTTAAGCCAAGACAAAATACATTTGCTGTAAGTGAAAAAAAGATTGCCCTCTCAGCCTTTTCACTTGTTTAAGTAAATGTGTTGAAAAAGTTATAGAAAATTTAATCTAGGATTTTTAAAAGATAGGTCTGATGAAAAAGTTCAAACAGGCTCTGAAGTAGAGCCAGTAAAGTTTTCCATTTTTAAGTCTATTTTTCATGTCAACAGAATGTTATCTGCTTAAGCAGAAAATGGATTGCAGTTAGTAATTCTCCATTAAGTTTTTGTAGAGCCAGTTATTATCAACATATGAAACAGAGGAAAGAACTCAGAAAATGGGACTTTAGTTTCACCACCTGAAAACAGTGTTCTAATTTTGCTACCACTACCAACTTTCTTTCAGGGAAGTCTTACAGCATAGAAAACATAGTCACATCTTCAGAGAAATCAAAGTTTCATTAAAATTTAATGTAAACTTGTAATGGAAAGATTATAGCATTTTTGTATGTGATCAGAGTAGGGAGCATTATAACACCAGTGTATATACTTTTAACATATATCTCATTTTCTCTTAATGTACAGTTTTAGTAAACATCATTAATTTTAATACAAACAATCCTCCAAATTTCTTTACGCAAGAACAATTTTATCCAATCATTAAGAAAACCACCAAAAAATTATTTTTTAAATAATTTACAACTATTCAGCCAAGGCTTTGTTTGGAGAGCCCACTCCCCAAAATACACTATCATATGACCACTCTAGTTTTTAATTGTCAAATTGGAACTGAATGACATCTTCAAAGTAGAAGAAAGTCAAGCAATTACAGTAACCCCAAAGTGATCAGTTCTTAACAAGAATTGACAGAATTCTTTGTTTTGATGTGAAAGGCAATAATTGCATGCCATCTGTTTCCAGGTAAGTGGCACTAATTCAATGGTTAACTTGAAAGAGAACTAAGATGTATTA